GCATGAGGAGATGTTGCAGCTACGGCAGCTGCAGCTGAACCAGTTGCAACAGCAGCAGCAGCCACCTGCACAGCAGCAGCAGCAGCCGCCACAGCAGCTGCAACAACCGCAACAACCACCCCACCAGCCGCAGCTCGGTTCCGGAGTCGCACCTCGGGTGCTGGAAGCGGCGGCACCGCATGGCACCGTGACACCGCCACCGCCACCGTCGAGGGCTGAGCCGCCGCCGCCGCCGCCGGAGCAGCAGCAGCAGCAGCAGCACCCACAACCCGAACACTCGCAGCACCCCGCCCCGCTGCATCCCCTCGCCCACGGCCCCCCTCACCCCCCGCAGCCCAGCCGGGACCCCCAGCAGCTCTACCAGCAGCTGGCGCACCTCTACTGCCACTACCAGCACCTGCTGCACCGAGTAAGGCAGCAAAACCAGCCACCGGTACAGCAGGCACAAGAAGGGCGGCTGCACCAGCACCACCCGCAGCACCAACAGCACCAGCACCACCCGCAGCAGCCGCAACAGCACCACCCGCAGCATCAGAACCCGCAGCAGCAGCAGCATCTGCCCGGGCAGTATGCCGCTCCGCCTCCGCCCCACCCTGTCCTGCCAGCGCCGCAGCTGCAGCAGCACCCGCCAGGGCTGCGCTGCCATGACCCTCCGCCACAGCCGTTCTCCCTAGACCCTGTGCGAGCGAATCGTGCGGATCGACAGGCGCGGCCGCCACTGCCGTACACCCCTGCTGCAGCAGCAGCGCGGGACACCGGATCGACGGCCGCAGCAGCAGCTGCGGCGGCAGCAGCGACAGCGGCTTTGGCGGAGGTGGCGGCAGCCAGGAGCACAGCTGAGGCCTCCGGGGCTGAGGTCTTGGCCTCTGTCCAGCGCCGCTCTTGGTCACAGTCTGCAGCAGTCGCAACCCCCAGCAGCACACCGCGACCGCTCCCGCCAACAACGGCATCAACGGCGCCGGCAGCGCCGGCATCGGCACCAATGCCGGCACCGAACCAGCCGGGCAGCATTCGCAGCAACCCCATGCGGACACAGCACGCGGCAGCAGCCGCACATGCAGCGGGTCTACCGCCACCTCCATCGACAGCACCGCAAGCGGCAACCCGAACACCGCCTGGCGGCGATGCCACGGCAGCCGCTTCGAGCCGCGTACCCCCTGGTGGGTGCAGTGCTGGCTGCCGGGTGGAGTTTGTACAGCTGCCGCCGCCGGATGCCTGGGCAGCAGCACAGGGGGGCGGCAGGCAGCACCCGTCCCCGCACCCGCACCCGCACCCGCAGTCGCATCCACACCCAGCCCCGCACGCGGCCGTCATTCAACCCCAGAGGCATCCGGCGGACCAGCAGCGTCAACAGGGTCCCCTGCCTGCAGCGGTAGCCGCCGCCCAGCTGGCCTCGCCGCCTCCGCCTCAGCCGCCTGGTTCCGCGGCAGCACGGTTACGGAGGGTGCCTCCCCAGCCTGTGGCGGCGGTGGCGGCAGTGGCGGGCGGAAGCAAGGACGGAAGCCATGACGCTGCAGGACCAAGGCTTGGAGCGAAACCGATAGCAGTGCCGAGGGTGTTGCAGGAGCGGGAGCAGGAGCAGCAGTGGTTGTGGTCGCCGTCGCCGCCGCTGCAGACCCATGGGTCACATGCCAAGCCCGCGCCTAAGCCGGCGTCTCAGCAGCCTAAGCAGGACGGGTTTCTCCCACCTGGACGATACGTCTTGTTCGAGCCGCTGGGGCTTCCGGAGGCATCGTCGCCGACTGACGGTGTCGCCAACGTCACCGCAGGTGCAGGACCTCATGCTTTCCGTAACGGTAGCGGTGACAGCGGCAGTGGTGAGGGCGGCAGTGGTGAGGGCGGCAGTGGTGAGGGCGGCAGTGGTGAGGGCGGCAGTGGTGAGGGCGGCAGTGGTGAGGGCGGCAGTGGTGAGGGCGGCAGTGGTGAGGGCGGCAGTGGTGAGGGCGGCAGTGGTGAGGGCGGCAGTGGTGAGGGCGGCAGTGGTGAGGGCGGCAGTGGTGAGGGCGGCAGTGGTGAGGGCGGCAGTGGTGAGGGCGGCAGTGGTGAGGGCGGCAGTGGTGAGGGCGGCAGTGGTGACAGCGGCAGTGGTGAGGGCGGCAGTGGTGAGGGCGGCAGTGGTGAGGGCGGCAGTGGTGAGGGCGGCAGTGGTGAGGGCGGCAGTGGTGAGGGCGGCAGTGGTGAGGGCGGCAGTGGTGAGGGCGGCAGTGGTGAGGGCGGCAGTGGTGAGGGCGGCAGTGGTGAGGGCGGCAGTGGTGAGGGCGGCAGTGGTGAGGGCGGCAGTGGTGACAGCGGCAGTGGTGAGGGCGGCAGTGGTGAGGGCGGCAGTGGTGAGGGCGGCAGTGGTGAGGGCGGCAGTGGTGAGGGCGGCAGTGGTGAGGGCGGCAGTGGTGAGGGCGGCAGTCCAGTCGCTGAAGAAAACGGTGGTAGCGGCAGCGGTGGATCCGACAGCGGTGGCGGTGGAGGCGGCCTACTATCCGAGCCGACAAAACCCCTGAGCGGCAGCAGCGGCGGCGGCGAGAGTGGCGAAGCGGCCCAAGCGGGCACCTTTGACGACGCCGCTGCCGCCGTCGCTCATGCTGGTAGTGCCGGGGGTGGTGCCGGCGCCCGTGTTGGAGGGCTGGCTGGGCTGGGGGCGCGGCTGTGCCAGGCGGCAGCAGCGGCAACCGCACAGCAACGAGCCGCCCTGACACCTGCTGCGGATAGAGAGGACCATGCCGACGGCACCTCTAGCGCTGGCGGCGGCGGCGGGGTTGGGCAATGTATGGAGAAAGGTGACATGCCGCAGTGGCATCAGGGGCCGCAGTGGGAGCTGGCGGCAGCGGTGGCGGGGCCTCAGCGGGTCGAACCTGTGCAGCGGCGTCGAAAGCCCGCAGCGCCCTCGACCTTACAGCAACAGCAGCCGCGGGCCAAGCCGGCACATGGCCCCCTACGCCAGGTCCACTTGCCCCAACCGCAACAACAGCAAGCACCGTTGCAACAGCAACATTTGCCACCACGACCACCGGCTGCACTGCCTCCCCGTCCGCCGCCGCCGCCGCCACAGCCACCCAGCGAGCCCGCCGCCGCCCCTCCGCAGCAGGACGGCGCCCGCCGGCCACCCGTGGCCCGCTACAAGCGACCCATGGTTCTCACGCTGTGGCGCTTTCAAGATGTGGTTCGCCCGGACGCCGCCGACCCCAAGCCATCCAGAACCACCGGGACAGGCGGCAGCAGAAGCACTGGCAGCGGCGGTGCTGGGGCTAAGGGTCGCGGCGGAAGCGTTGGCGGAGGCGGCGGCGGAAGCGAGGCAGGCGGCGGTGCGGGTGTTAGCAGCGGGGGCGGCGGGGGTGCTGACAGACGCTGCGTCGTCGTCGGCGGCGGAAGTGCTGCTGCTGCTGCTGCAACTGCGGGTCGGACTGCGGCTACAGGGGCAGCAGCAGCAGGGGGGCCTAAGGAGCAGCCGTTCCCCACCGATTCTGGTATTCCTCGTACTGACGTGCTGGTGAGCTCCGACAGCGATGTGGCGAGCCAGGACACATGCGACCAACAGCGCACGAACTCCCATGCATGTGATGCAAACGGCCAGGGGGACGGAGGTAGGGGCGGAGGTGGAGCCGGAGGCGGGGGCGGAGGTGGCGACTACGCTGCTGCAGTAGCTGTGGCTGGGGTCGGCAGCGGTGCGGGATCCGATCCGGGTCTGAAGCTACCGGCAAGCGGCGGCGTCAGCAACACAGCGAGCGGAGGTTTCACGGAGGAGTGTGCGGAGGGGTGTGTGTCCAGCGGGGGTGGCGGCCGCAGTGCGCCTGATGTCGCGGGTGGCGAAGCGTCAGAGGGAGGTGGGGGAGGAGGTGGCGGCGGGGGCGGGAGGCGGCGCCACCTGCTGCGGCGCTGCAGGCAGCCGCAGGTGGCGGTGTGAGGGGCGGTGGTGTAGGAGGGAGCATGGAGGTGGGGGAGAGCGGAAATCGCGGGGTTTCGTGGCGATGCAAGGGCATGGGGTCCAACATTGCGAAGGACCTTCTTGGTACGGATTGGGGCTGTTTACTGCTGGGGGTTAGCAAGGAGTCCAGGGTTGTTGGAGGTTGTTGCAATGTAACGCGTGCGCAACTTGCAGTGTGCGCAACTTGTGGCTGGCAGGAGGGTGCAAGGCAGGTTGGAGGCAGGGCGTTGCAGGCAGGAGATTGTTGCATGTATGCGTAGGTGTAACGGTCTTAACGCGAGGCGAAGGAATTGCTAAAACAGTGGCAAAAGGTACTGGGACTGGTTCCTGTGGTCTGCATTAGCCGTCAGCATGGTAGGACTGGGCAGGAAGGGCGGGGGGCTAACCCCAGGTATTTGCCGGCAATCGTGATGGCAGGACGGAGGCTGGAGGCACGCGGATGTACCGTTGGTGTGGCTCGTGACGTCATCAACACGGTGTCTGGGAAAGGGGCGTATTCGTACTGCTGCCGTACAGCGCGCGGGGGTTTTAGGAATTGGAGCAGCTCATGTGCACACGCCGTCTGCGGCTCTGTTCGCAATGGATGCCAGCTGCTGTGTCATCTGAGCCCCCATCATCAAACACAGGAGTGGTGGCAACAGGGGATGCGGGCCCCCAGTGCCCGCAGCAACGACATGGCCTCATGCGCTAAACAGCTAGATAGTACGTGTCGTGGCATTTGATTGGGGTGGAGGTTCATAGTGTATAGGGACAGGGCCGGATGGGGTGCCGCATGCGGGGATTGTTAAACACAGTCTAGCATACGCCGTGATACGAGGCTTTCAATCACGCGGGCGTGCATCTGTGGAATGGCGGGGGCCCATCTCGTTTCCGCTGGGGCATGTGCGGGAGGCGTGCTGACAGATGAGGGAGGAGGGCTCTGCCAACAGACAGCCTTACGTATGAGTACTGTGTGGGGTTGTGGCAGGCTTGTCAGGTGGTGGTTGGCGGGGCGTGGTGAACATACTGTAAGCTTACAAACGTGTGACCATCCCTGGAGTCGACTTAGTAACAGGTAAGCTTAAGGCGTTTTCCAAAAGGATGGCGGTTGCTGCCGACCCATGGGTCCTCCTGCCGCATACTGCACCATGAGAACCACCGTACCTGCCCATGCATTCATCATCAAGTGCATGTATGTATAAGCCTATGGATTCCATCCATGACAGCACATCCAGGTTGGCCACTTAAGCCTGCACGACACGCCACGGAGTATGTACACCACCACATACACTACCACTCGTAAGTCCATGCGCCCAGGCGATCGAACACCTCTCTCTGAGTCTCTTAACAGTCTAACACGGCACCGCAAAACGGCTGTCAACTAGGGTACTCTGTATAGTCTATGCCCATCGGTTGTGGACGACGAGCTGTCTTTGTGACGGGAGGCAGATCCATGGTTACTTAGCACTACTAAAGGGGTGCACCATCTAACACCCGCATGCATCTTGCCGTAAAGAAAGCTTGCACTCTGTCCAGTTCCTGAGGCGTCCTACTGGCAGGGAAATGGGATTACAACCCAAGGTGCCTGCACGAGGCGCCCTAGACATCATCATACCGGTGCTACCTAGAAGCTACCCCGCCACTTGCTGCTACCTTCCACGCAGCAGGATTGTCCTTTCTGCATGCCCGGCTATCGAGCCCCCAGAGCCTTAACCTCGGCGTCTGTCAGCCGTAGGTTCCATGCCCTCATGGCAATCTTAACACGACTGACGTCACCCTCCTTAAAGCCTTGTAGTCTCAGCAACTGCGCACGGAGCCGCTGTAGCACGCTGGGTTGTGGTTTGTAGCCTTGGACGGAAGAGAGGGCCAACATGGTCCACGTGAGGTCCATGCACGTCCAGTTCGGACCGAAATCGTCCATCAGCCGCTTGCACCAGAGCTCGGCTTCTTCAGTGGTTGGCTGGAAGCCCCGCTGGCAGACATGATAGAGAATCCCTGCAAAGTTGGCGCGTCGGAGCTCCAAGGCGTACGGAACAGGCATCTGTAGCGCGATGTTGTGTAACTGCTGTAAGGTGTTGTGCGGGAGGTAGATGTGAAGAAGGTAGGCACCGCGCAGGATGAACTCCAGGGCCCGGCAGAGCTCCCGCGATTCTCTCTTGTCATGTGTGATCCGTGTGACCACATGGATGAGTTTGTCCTTTTGGTTGGCAGTTAGGGTGACTGCATTGAAACCCATACCCGACATGATCTGCGCCAGTATTTTAGGGTCCTCCCAGCTGTCCACTCCCTCCAGGGTCTTCACTGCAATGGAATCCAAGAGTCCCCTGTCCCAAGGGTACGGCACTTGGCCCAGGGCGTACCACACCATTGAAGCGGTCACGCCAGGCCAGCTCCCACTCTCATTCACGAGGCTCACCAAGACTTGCTCCGCGGCCTCCGCAAAGTACGCTCCAAGGGGATGTTTATCAAGGTTGAAATTGGCCTTGCCCATGCCCCACAGCGTGGAGCCCAGTTCCCGCAGCTGCATGCGGTGAGCCACAGCTAGCGTTTTGCCCATCATGCGCTGCCCCAACACAATGCATGCAGCCTGCTGTCCATGGTCGCCCCCACGGAGCTTCCCCAGCTGCATCCAGGCGGTTGCAACGTTGATGGGGTCCAGCTCCGCCTCATTGGCGGTGAAGACGTCTTCAAGCTCAGCCATACGCTTGCACCGAAGGAGCTCAGTATTGATAGATTTGTTGACTAGTGAGCCACGGCCACCATCGCCAATGACAACACTCGTCCACCTGCCGGTGGGTTCAACGCTGGACCCGCCGCTGCCGCCTGCCTTGCTGCCCCGCACTGCTTGCACTCGTACGCCAGGCCTTGGCGGTTCGGCAGTGGGGGCTGCTCCGGGTACCTGCGTCAGGCGGAGCTGGAGCAACATGTCAGCATACGTAACGCAGGCACGCAAGCACGTGAGCCTAAATGTTTTCTCATCATCCTCTTGCCTTTACACTGCAGATACGGAGTGAGCTCGGCCTCCAAGGGCGACAAGGAAGCCTCGATGAGGGCAGCGACGTCCCTCGAGGCTGAACGCTCGCCGACATCAATGTCAAACGCCGACAGGAGCAGTATTGTGGTAAGGATAGGCGCAGCTGACGGATGTTGCTGCTGTGTGCCTGTGATCGAAGCCGACTATATCCTTGCTGAATACGAAAGAACACCAACCGTCGCAGGCTTTACCTAACGCCTGTTGCGCTAGTTCTGCATTGTATAAAGGTAACTACTGGTACTTTATCACATTCTGTGCGCCGCAAAGCGTCTGAAATGTAAGGCGCGCTTGAGATATAGCATACGGCAAAGCGGTACAGGGCTACCAGATCTAATCCTTGTTGGGCTCCGCCAAGCCGCCACGGCGCGGCTTCGAGGGGGCTTTCCCAGCGGCCACGTCGCTCTACAGGCACTGGGACAGACGCTTTTCCTTGCGTACCATGCAAGGGGTATCACCGAGGGGTGTCCGATTCCCGAGGAAGGGGTCTTAGCTTTTCATATAGCTTCTCCAACAAGGGCCGTGTGTCAGCGTCTCTGATAAGGGGTGTCAGCTCAGCAGGTGCCATGGGGTCACAGGTTCGCATACCCTGTGATTCCAGTAGTCATCTTATGTCCTCAGCAAGAGGCTCCGCCCCTTTCCCAGCTTTTAGATAGCTGACACCCCCTTATCGACATGGTCTCCAAGGATTGCAGGTTATCGTGGATTGTAGCAACGCACAAGGTACCATGTGAGGTACTGGACGTTTACAAGGGTGCAAGCCTTCTTAGCTCCACACGCTCGCCTCTGGGACACAACCATCACCCCCATGCGTGTCAGTGCAAGATGACCTCCTCCGCCACTTTGAAGCTGTGCTGCCGATCAGCGCCCCTTCCGATGCTTCTGAGGCGGCTATGCACAGATTGCTTTTCCGTTCCACACCGCCACTACCGCCCACCCGGCATAGAGGACCTAAGGCCACCAAGCAGACTGTTAGTTGACAGCTCCCATCATGCGCTAGACCAAGCACAGCACCTCAAAGTACCGCAATCCCCCAAGCGCCCTCCTGCGTTGTGGCCCTAAGCTGAGGCACGTATTGCTCCAAGTATCTCCTCTACAGCACCGACATCCTTGAGGCACAGCTTGACGCCTCCCAGCAGCCCCCACCCCCACCCAGCCGCTCTCATGCCTCCGAGGGCGAGACCTTCTTCAGCTCCGCCTCCTGTGCGGGGGGGGGGGAAGCGAGGTTGGGGAGGGAGGGGGAAGTTCACAGCATGAGAGAGGGAACTCAGGCATGCCAGGAAAGCAACATCAAGTCTCAATGGCTCATCCTCTACCAGCCCCTCTCCACGGCGTGTACCGCCGCGCCGCCCAGAGAACCTTCCTTCGTTCCCAATTTCCCCTCCCAGCCCCTCCTCCCTCCCCTCCCCTTCCACCCCACCCACCAGCTTATCAATCATCTGGGTGCACTCCGCCTTCTCAACCATGATGCTCAGGCTCGCCTTGCCCTTCCACGCCACCACCGCCAGCGGGGCGTTCGCCGACAGGCCCCCGGTCACCTCCTCCGCCTCCCCGCCATCAGCACCCGCACCCGCTGCTGGCGCCCCGCCGGCTGCCAGTGCCCGGGCCTCCGCCGGCGCTGCCCGAGTGGATGCCGCGAAGCCCAGCCTGCGCGCGTCCTCCGCCGAGAGCTCGCACACCACACAGCCCAGCTTGAGCGGCTCCAGGGCGGCCAGCACGGCGGGGTCGGAGAGTGTGGGCTTGGTGCCGCGGGGGTTGCCTGGGTAGCGCGGCAGGAAAGGGGGTAGGGGTGAGGAAGCAGTGGAGGGGCGGGTTATGGATGAGGAAAGGGAGGTGCAAGGTGCGGCATTAGCACCTTTCTCCGCCGCGTGTAACACACATGCAACAAGGCGCTATCAGAAATAGGTGTATCGGTTCCCCACCTGCACCCCATGCACCACCACCTGCCCTCCTCTTTCCCCTTCCCCCTGCACCCACCCGACGCCGTGGTGTCCCCCTCCGTCGCCGCCGCCTCGGGCAGTATGAGGTTGCGGTCGCGCAGCAGCTGCAGCAGCACCCCCGGCGGCACCTCGATGCGCTGGCGGGTGATGTACGGCAGCACCAGCGGCAGCCCCTCCTGCGCCAGCCGGTAGGGGCACTCGTTCACCTGGTCGCGGATCACCTGCCGCTCAAACACCTGGGGTGGTGCGGTGCGGGGGAGGGAGGGAGGTGCGGGAGGGGGAGGGGGAGGGGGAAGAGGAAGAGGCAGGGGCGGGCGGGTAGGTGGGTGGGTAATGGGTTTGTTTGGGGACATGGGTTATGGAACATGGAAAGGACCTCGCCATCACCACCCGCACAACAGAACCTCCACCCCCAAAAAGCGCACCCTGCGCAGCCCCGTTAACAGCTGCCAACCCACACCCCACTCCCCCACCCCTCACTCCCTCACCTTGAGCCCGGTGGCCACCACCTTGACCGCCTCCCTGCTGTCCGCCAGCATCATCTCCAGCAGGCTGCGGCACACAAAGTACAGCCGCTTGGGCTGCTGCTCCAGACTGCGCATCAGCAGCTGGGAGCGCAGCGGGAAGTCGGGGGCAATGCCGTAGTACTCGTACAGGCTGCCCAGCACACCCTCGTCCTCCACGGGGGCCACCGGGTCAATGTAAGCGAACTTGCCGCCCTCGGGACGGCCCCGACCGCCGCCGCCGCGGATCCAGGATACCTCCGCGATAGGGCCCGCGGGGGCGGAGGAGGAGGGTCCGGCGGCGTCTTGCTCGCCCTCGAGCTGCTCTCCGTCGGCGGTTGGTGCTGTTGCGACGGCGACGGCGGCGTCCTCGTCGTCTGCCGTCGCGGCCTCCTGCTTGGGCTGCTTGGCTTCTTGCTTTGGTTGCTGCTGCTCCTCCGCCCGAGGTTTCCGCGAGGCACCCTGCCCGCCCGACACCGCCGCTGCGGCCTTCCGCGCGCATGCATCCGCATTCGCGGCGGCCCGAGTGGCGTTGTCGTACTCGCTCGCCTCAAACGCCGCGAGTGCCGCCTCCGCAGCCGCCACCGCCGCCTCCGCCGCAGCCCGCGCGGCGTCAAACGGCGTCGTCGTCGCCGCCGGCGCCTCCACCGCTTGCTGCTCAGTCTCCGCTGGCCCTGTCCCCGCCTCCGCCGCAACCGCTTCTTCCCCTCCCTCCGGCCGCTCAACGCCCTCCATTCCATCTACAACCGCCTCCGCCCCCACCGCCTCCACCTCCTGCTGCTCCTCCTGCTGCTTCTCCTCCTCCCCACCCGCCGCCGCCCCCTTCTGCTGCTGCTGCTCCTTCCCCGGCAGCTCCGCAACCTTCCTCAACACCGCCACGAAGAACCCGCCCGTGTCCCCGTGGTGCGGCAGGAAGCGCATGCAGCGGTGCAGCGGCAGCGCCGCCTTCTCGGGGGAGGAAAACATGGAGGCCTCCAGCTTGAACCCCACCTCCCGCGCCTCCTCCCAGCTGTCGTAGAAGCGGTTCCGGTCGCGCACCTTCCAGTGGGTCTTCCCCGGCATGCGGCGCAGCTCCGGCAGGCAGTCCGCCACGTCCACCAGCTCCAGCGCGCCGCCGCAGCGCAGCAGCAGCTCCGCCACAACCGCCTCGTCCTCCACGGGGTTGAAGGTGCAGGTGCTGTATACCATGCGGCCGCCAACCTGGGGGGGCGGAGGGGAGGGGGGGGAGGGAGGGGGAGAGGAGGGGAGGGAGAGATGTTGGGGTTATGTTGTAGGGAACGCGGAGAGGAGGGGATCGGGAGATGAGGAGGAGGGGGTTGATGGGAGGACGTTTTGTGCAACGGTCGTGTGGTGAGGAGGATGAGGGGAGGGGGAGGTGCAGGACATGAGGTGCCATGTGAGGGCAGGAGGGCCCCGAGGAGGGCATGCTGGCGGGGCCGCAGAGCGTTGTCAGACGTCCAGACACGTAAGAGGATGTCTCGTCAGTAGCTGCCCCCGCAGGAGCGGCATCGGACAAAGGTTACCAGTGTAGGTATCATCACTCAGCGCTTATTGATGAACACGCGGACCCAATACCTCGTATACAAGTACCGGTATATATGCGAAGAGGGGATGTGAGCAATGCTTGGAAAGGTTGGAATGTGAGCTACAATACATGTTTGCCAAACTGCTGTGTGTGCTGTCAGACGTCCAGACACGAAAGATAATATCTCGTCAGTAGCTGCCCCCGCAGGAGCGATATCGGACAAAGATTACCAGTGTAGGTATCATCACTCAGCGCGCATCGTTTTCCACACGATGAACATGCGGACCAACACATCTTGTACAAGTGCCAGTACATATGATGCGCCTTGCATCACACGTGCGTGCGAAGAAGGGATGTGGTCAATGCTTGGAATGTGAGCCACAATACCACAAATGTTTGGTTGGCATGGTTGGCAAACTGCTGTGTGTGCTGTCAGATGTCCAGACACGATAAGAGCTGTCTCCTCAGCCGCGGCCCCGCGGGGTTGCGATCGGACAGATTACCAGAGATGGTATCATCACCCAGCCAGCTAGCCATGCCATGCCAGCCCACCCCCCTTGCTCCCGCCTCCCCCGCCCAGCACCCAACCCCGCACCGCAGCCCCCCCCTCACACGGTCAGTTAGTTGTTTCCTCTTTCCCCCCTCTTACCTCCAGCAGCTTCGCCCCATGCATGGCAATCCGCAGCTGCATGGAGTGCAGCCCGTTGCCCCCGCTGATGTTCCACCGCCGCCAGATGTCGGGGCTCTTGCGCAGCGTGCCGTCACCCGAGCAGGGCACGTCAGCCAGGATGCGGTCGAACCGCACCTCCACCCGCTGCGGCTTGGCAGCTGCGGCAGCAGCGGTAGCGCCCGCCTCCGCACCCACCACACCCGCATCCTGTGGCTGCTGCTGCTGCTGCTGTGGTTGCTGCTGTGGCGGCACCCCCGCTAGGTGCGTTGGGAAGCGCGATGCGTCGTGGTTGGTGACCATGAGGCAGGGGCTGCACACCCGCTTGGTCTGGTGGGTCAGCAGGTTGCAGCGCATGAAGTCCGCGTCGTTGGCCACCACCAGGCCCGCGGGCGTCTGGCCGGGGCGGCTGCCGGCGTGCAGCGCCTCCAGCAGCTGGAAGGTCTTGGAGCCGGGGGCGGCGCACATGTCCAAAACCTGTGTGGCGGCGGTGCGGGTGAGGGGGAGGGGGTGGGATGAGGTGGGGAATTCAACGAACACCTGGAACACATGAGGGGTGCAGGGCCCGTCGAGGTGTGCGGCAGCGCATCCACCAGTTCCCTCTTCCCCCCACTCGTCCCATTTTCCCTTACCATGCTACCGTACCTACCTCTAGTTTACCCTCCCAGTCCTAGTCCCCTACCCCCCCCCCTAGCCCCGCCTTATCACACGGTCAGTTAGTTGTCTCCTCTTCACCCACCCTGTGTTGCGGCTGCACGTCCAGGAACAGCGGCGGCACCATGGACACTGCCTCCTGCCGACTGATGCTGCCCGCGTCGTTGGCGTGCTTCACAAAGTCGTGGATGGCGGCCAGCAGCGGCAGCTTGCGCAGCTGGTTGCGGCTGAACTCCAGCTGCCAGGCGTAGCCGTGCGGGTACCAGGGCAGCTGGCGGGGGGCCGTCACGGGCTCGCCGTCAACCTGGGGGAGGGCGGGGAGAGGAGGTTGAGGGGGGAGGTTGCGGATAGGGAGAAGGGCAGCAGCTGCTGGGTTTCTCGTAAACTGCCCGGCCGAACCCTAATCCCGAACCTAACTGTGCCCCCCACCACCGCGCCCCCGGTTCCGGCCATCCCGCCCTACCGTGAGCTCCTCTCCGCTCAGCTTGGCGAAGAAGTCGTGTTTCAGCTTGTCTCGCAGGTGGTCCGCGAACTTGCCGGAGCCGTTGATGCGGAAGGTGACGGGCAGCGGGCGGCGCAGCGTGGCCAGGAAGGCAGCCCACTCGCCCTCGGGGACGATCTCCTGCGCCTTGTAGTACTCCTCGAAGGCGGCGTTGTGGAGCTGAGGTGGAGGGGAGAGAAACAGGAAGAGACGGGGAAAGGGGAGGAAGGGAAAGAAGGGGATTAGGATGTTGGATGATGGTCAAGTCGGCCAGCCGCAAGCGTGCAGCGACGCAGGCAGCGCAAGGCAGCAAGAGTTCCTCAGCTGTCAAGGATAGGTTAATGTGCTTGAAAGCTAGGTGTGCACAGGCTAGATGCAAGGTTACAACACGTACATCGTCACGGCCAAGGTAGTCCTTCTTCGGCCGCTTGTCCTGTTGCCATGAGTTGCCCCCGCGACCGCCGCCTCGACCGCCGCCGCCTCCCCATGATCGCTTCTGCATATTAAAAACAAAAGCAAATCATGCACGAATCATGAGCTTCCTGTAGGATTGGGCAAGAATTGCAGGCCATCAGCCGCCAGCCTTGACTATACTGCGTACCTGACCACGGCCCATAAGTACACCTAAAAGCCAATTGTAAAACGGTTGAAGCCGATGTTTTCTCTAAACACTCTGCTGCGGAAAGCAAAGTGCCGGTAGAGTCGGCAAATTAAACTCGGTCACAGCCTCGGGCCCGCGATCCACCTAAAACGGTTATGTACATGTATTTCTTTCGAAAATAAGCCCATCGGCTTGTCCTCCGCTCGGTATCCTGCTTGAGTGCCGTGCAGCGTACCGTGCTGCGTGAGGCGCGCTGTATCCTTGCACGACAAGATCACAACTCTGATTACACTGGAATTGCTGCATCATACAAAAGTGCTATCCGGATTGTTGTGAATATAAGGGCGTGCCCTTGCTGCTCTGAAACTTCAGCTGGCTTTCGTGCGGGGCGAGACATTCTCTGTCGATGAAGAATTCACCAGCATTGTATTACGAAGTATTAATGTGTAGCTTGCTGGTAACTATTATCCCTGCAGCTACGTCTGCCGGTCAGGTTGGAGCGTGGTTAGGAACGGGCTAGGGATGTTGCATATGTTCACAATAACCCACAGTGCCCGCAGCAGTCATTGTAGCAGTGAAAAAGGCGGAAAGGCCAGAAAGTATTGCTCAAATGGAAATTGCTGGAATACCTCCGCTGGCTTCTCCTTAGGCGCAGCACAGCAGCAGGCCGCTGCAGCCCCCAGCCACTCCCTGCACCGCACGCTCACCCTCCGACCCGACCCCAGCCCTGACATCTTAGCTGATTGGGGTGTGGCAGACCCAAATACGTGCCGCCCGCCCGCCACAGGGCGTCTGCAAGCCTCTAGAGGAGGGGGTTGGCCGCGCTAACCGAGTAACCATACACATGTCACTGGTCCTTAGTCCTTTAGGCTAAAGAAGAACAAAGCAATAGACGTACCGGTATGTTCACGCACACACGCGCGCTCGGTTGTTCGGGAAGACGCCAGTAGCACCAGCCACCTGGGTGCCGCTAAAGTTGCACACCCCTTGTCCTCCCCTGCCTGCCTAGCCACCGTAAAGCTGGAGGGGACGCCTGCCAACACGACTGGTCCCGCTGCACGCAACGCCCAAGACACCACCAGCACTCGCACGTCAACAGCCACTGCGCACGCAATACGTAGTCCCTCCTTTTCACGCCGCCCCATCTCCGCCACCACCGCCCACCACCCTGACACCGGCATAGTGCCTTAATGTCCTCCGCCAGCAAGCCCACCAGCAACCCCTCCAGCCGACACATCCCTATCCCCACACCTTCACGCACCGTTCCCCTTCACCGCCCGCCGCATTCCCTTCCCCAACAACATCCCTCTCCCCCTCCTCCTCACCCACCCTCTCAGTCCTCCTCCGACGTGTAGTACACGCCCCCGATCTTCTTGCCGTACCGCGACAGCAGCTCCAGCGACCCCCCCGACCCGCCGACCGCCACCCCCCCACCACCCCCCGGGTGCTCCGCCAGCGCCCATGCGGAGCGGGTGGCCAGCGGCTGGCGCGTGGGGCCCTCCAGGGCGAGCGAGTAGGTGCTGAGCGCCGCCTCGCTGCCGGCAACCAGCACGGAGGAGGGCTGCACCAGCATGGCCTGGGGGAGAGAGGGGTGGGATGGGGGTGGGGGTAGAGAGGGGGAGTGGCAATAGGGAGTTGTAGGGATACGAAGCGAAAGGAGAACGAGGGTGACAGGTGAGGATGGGTAAGAATGTCGGGGAGGTAACCAGAGGGCAGAGAAAGGACGGAGGAGTGCAGAAGGAGGTTGTGCAGCCCACCTGAACCCCACTCTACCCCACTCCCGTCCCCCCCCATTCCCACCTGCGGCAAGAAGGTCGTTGTCGTCTGCTTGGCTCGCTGCCCGCTGCCCAGGTCCCACATGCTCAGCGCCCCCCCGCCTCCGCCTGCTCCGCCCCCCGCACCCCCCTGCCCGCACAGCAGCCAGCTGCCACTGGGCTCGAAGCGCAGGCAGCCCACATGCGGACTGCGCAGGCAGCGCAGCGCCTCCGCGGCGCCCGCCACCGGCCGCCCCGACCCCACGTCCAGGGTGCGAACACAGCAGCCGCTACCGGTGCCGCTGCTGCCGCTGCCGGCCCGCATGTCCCATAGCCGGACGGTGCCATCCTGAGTGCGAGCAGGGATGAGGAAGAAAGATGGTCAGGGTTGGAGGGAAGGCGGGCGTGTAGCGCAGGGTACAGGGTCGACACCCTCGCTAGGCAGGAGACGACGCAATGCAGCATAGGCTGCATAGCACAGCACGTCACCACGGGCTCCCCGCTTCATTGGTCCGAATTCTCAGACCTGTAGCTGAGGAGCTTGCGTGAGTGTGACCCACGGGTCACTCATTTGCGCCCCTCGTCCCTCGTCCCTAGCCGCACCCCATCCCCTTCCCTTCCTTCCTCGTCGTTTTCATTTTGCCCTCACCTCTGAGCCGCTCGCCAGGAAGCCCGAGGCCCCGTGGTGGTCCATGGACAGCACCGCCGCCGCGTGCCCCGCCCCTCCGGCCCCGCCCGGCTGCCCCTGCCGCAGCGACCCACGGGACACATCCAGGCAGTGCACCCCGCCGTCACTGCAGCCTGGAGGAGGGATGGAGAGGGGGTGTGGTTGGGTTGAAACGGAGGTGAGGAGGGTGGCAGCTCGTCTCCATCAACCCAGCAGCACGGTGTGATGTCCCAGCCGTATCACCCCGCCTGCACCTACCCCCGCGCTCGCCTCGCGCGAAACCACATGGGCACCCGCCTCTTCCATCCAACCGCAGCCAGCCTGTGCCGCAGCCCCCTCCCTCTTCCACATCTCGTAACCCAACAATATCCCCCACCCAGACCACACACCCCACCTACCTACGAACAGCGTCAGCTCCCCTGAGCCGCCTCCCCCTGCCTCCCCCGCCACTGCCAGCGCCTGCACCGCCGGCGGCAGCGATATGGCGGCCAGTGGGCTCTCCGCGCGGGGCAGCCGCACCGCTAGGCACGGCCGGAGCGCCGCAGCGCCCGGCTCCAACATGGCCTCATCCTGCTGCTGCTGAGGCTGCAGAGGCTGCTGCTTAGAAGGTTGCTGCTGCTGGTTGTGATGCGGTGGTAAGGGAGGCTGCTGTTGCTGCTGTTGCTGTTGCAGGTGCCGCATCACATCCGACAGCCGCCAGCCGCGCACGTAGCCGTCATCCCCGCCGCTGAACAAGAGCACGTCGGATCCTGGGAGGAACGGGGACGAGGCGGGGGAGTGGAGGCGGGGTTGGAGACTTAGGCGAGAACAGGTTATGGGCGGTGTTTGGGAGGACAGGTGATGGGGGCTAGGCAAAGTAGCACGCCAAGTGCGGAAGAAGGAGGCCCCCTGGGTTTGTGCCTGTTGAAGGGTCGCATGGGGCTGCATCTCCGGCCCGCCCCACCTGCACGCGCCCGCGCCATGCAGTACACCGCCCCCCGGTGCGCCCGCCAGCTGCACACCGCCTGCCCCGACTGCTGCCCCGCCGTCCAGCGCTGCACCAGGTCAGGGAGCAGGTACAGCCTGGGGGGAGAAAAAAGAGGGAAGGGGAAGGGAGGAGCGAATTGAGGAGGGAAGGAAGAAGGGGAGGAGGGAGGCGCGTGGCGGTGAGGGGTGGGACCGTGGGAGTGAGAAGGGGGCGGGAGGGCGCTCGGCAAGGTGGCCTGATAGCAGCGGTGTTTTCCCCCCTCCCAGGTGCGTACTTTATCTCTCCCGTGCTGCTGGCAGCGAGGAGCATGTCGGGAGGTGGACGCCCATCGCCGTCGGCATGTGTGCCCCCGCACGCGCTCAACGTCTCCGCTGACGTCACAAAGCAGCATGAGTACACCGTACTGAAGCGCTCGACTCGATTCTTTAGTATTTCGGTCGCATATGCGTTTAGATCATAGGTCCTGCGTGGGACCGTTCAGGGATGGCTGTGGGTCGCACCAACATTAGCGTAGCGTCTGCTGACCCTGCATACCTGCAATCAAACGCCGTCCCTGTCATCCTTTGCAAACTTGCAATGCTCTTCTTTGCGATACAGATACCAGATATGGATCACTGCAAGCGTGGTGTGGAAGCAGCACGGGGAAAACAGCGGAGGTGCAAATAGACGTGAAGTGAATTGTTATAAGCACTAGTGTATCAGCAACGCAATGTCTGTATTGGACAATTGCTGATTCGGTTGCCCTTCCGATTGGCTGGTTGCAGGACTCTGTTGATTATTATTAATCCCAACGCCGATGGCCGCCTTTCTGCGTATCTTTTGGTGCTTTGTGATATCTTTCTATATGCTGTACCAATCTATATTGTTTATATGAGTGCTTACACTGTGAAGGGCTGAAGCACCCGTCCTGACTTTCCTTTCAACACACCGTTAGTTTCCCTTAAGCAACGGAGACTTAGATTGAACTTTGAAGACAGGTTCACGTATTCGAGGGCTAGCTTGCTGGCGCCGCGGCGCTTTACGACGCATGTGCTAGGTGAGACGCGGTTCGGCTAGAAGTCGTTACTCATACACACAACAGGCAATTGACTGGTCATTACGTGGATGACTCACCTGCAAGTTCCTTGTGTACATGGACGCTATGCTTGACGGCCATGTCATCCATGCTTCTCCACCCCCGCAGCTGCGCACGCAGTGCGTTGTGCGCAAGCATGCAAGATGAGGTCGTAACGGAGGGTAGCGGAGGTCTTCGGCTTCCCGCAGTTCGCACCAACACCGGCTCCAGGCCCTCCTTCACGGGTGTTGCGCCGCATGGGTCCCCACCCAAGCCCAATAAGATGCCCAGCCCCCCTGGAGCCGCGGGGGCAAAAAAGGACGGCGACCAGACCAGCATTATTATCGAATCGAATGCGGAGCTCCTAAAAGCGGAAAGGCCGGAGGAGCGGGTGGTGCATGAAATCGTGGGCTGCTTGAAGGTGCGTGCTGAGCCCTAGCTCAAACACAGCGGCGCAGTGGATACGACTGGCTTCTGCACTGCTCATGGGTGACGGTGCGGGGATGATAATCGTAGCTCAAGTGGTGGTGGTGGCGAAGAGGGGCGGTGTGAACTCATCGATTGCGAGTCCGCAGTCCGGCCCACTTCCCCTTGCTTCGCCCTGGTTTCCCCTCCCTCGAAGCCGCCGCGCGTCTGCTACCATCGGTACCCCTCCTTCCAACCCCTGTCTCCCTCCCTTCCCTCCCCTCCCTTCCCTCTCCTATCCTTCTTTTCCTTCTTTTCTCCTCCCCCAGATGAAAAGCTCCATGCTTGCCATGGGCGCCTGCGAGCGCGTGAAGAAGATCGCCCGCGTGTATCCCGTGGAGGTGGCCAACAGCGCCATCATGGAGGAGCTGGTGGGCTGCCTGAAGGAGGGGCCCGCCACGGCGCTGGCGGGGGCGGTCATGCAGGCGCTGTCCATCATGGCGCTCAACCCGGAGGGGCGGCAGCGGGTGTGCCTGGCGGGGGCGGCGGGGCCGCTCATAAGGTAGGCGGGCAGGCAGGGAGGGGAGGAAAGAGTGTTGTATATCGTAGCGGAAGGGTTGGGCTACTACGGAGCCAAGATGAGGTTGCCGGCCGCGGTCATGCCACGCTTTTGCAATGCGTGGTGTGCGGCTCGCGTGGGCACAGCTTAACGATACCGTTAGCTGACCTCTTTGCACCTCCTCCTGCCTACCGCTACTCCCCCCCAACCCTCCCACCCTCCACCCCCCACCCCCCAGGTTCATCCGCACCTCCGACCTGTCCCGCCCCAACCTGGACCGCGCCGTGACGCTGCTGATGAACCTGGCGGCCGACCAGACCAACCGGCGCACCATCCGGGAGGAGGGCGGCGTGGAGGCGCTGGTGGAGCTGCTGAGGGTGGCGCCCATTGGGGAGTCGGTGGGTAGGGTAAAAATAAAGAGGGAGCGGAGGGAAGAGGGAGGCATGGAGGAGGTGTAGAAGGGTCACAGGGCCGAGGAGCGGCGACAGCGTAGCTGTTGGCAATTGTGAAGCTTCTTGCGAAGTAATGTTACAGATAACATCATGCACCCACCTATGGTCACGGTCAGTGGTTCCTCGCGGCTCAGTTGTTCTAACCCACCTCATCCTGCACCCCCGCCTGCACCAGATCATGGAACATGCGCTGGGAGCGCTGCACAACCTGGCCCTCATGGACGCCAAGTCGCGCAGCCGGGCCATGGAGGCGGGCGTGCTGCTGCCGCTGGTGCGCATCGTGACGTGCAAGGGGCTGCCGGATGCCGACATGTGCGGTGTGCGCGGGCGCATGATCCTCACGGAGCTGCTCAAGATGCCGGAGACGGAGGAGCGGCTGGCGGCTGCGGCCATGGAGCTGGGCGTGAGGATATGAGAGGGAGCTGGGCAAAGAGGGTGAAAGGCGCCGTGGGAGCGGGGCGTGGGAGCAGTAATGGGGTGTTAAAAGAGGCCGCCGGGCAGAAGGGTACGGAACTGGGCATAGTAACGTTTTGCTGGCAACGTGCTAGCTAATGCGAGGCTGAAGAATTGTTGCGTTCTTCTTGAGGATGTGTGTTTGGCGTTGGGAGGATTGGAGGATGCCGGGGCTTGGCGAAGGGGTTGCCAAGGGTTTGTGTCGTCGTCGGAAACTGAGCAAGCGAGGTATCACTGAATAATGCTGTCATCTGCACTATGCGGATATTGATTCATGTTTCCCCAAAGCCTGCAGGTAGGTTGCAGTGAAGTACGAAATGGATGCTGCTAAAGAATTCTTGATTGCCGACTTCATGTTCAGATGTCGTAATTGTTGCACAAGTGCAATACCAAGGGACATACTCGAGAGCAGGCACGGGAGCGTGCAAGCAATTCATTGATGGCCTGCCAATCGTTCGCAGATGTGTGCTTACAATTAGGTGGCCGCACCTGTGTCAAGCACTGTCTCATGTCGAACAGCGGCTTCTTCGGGTCATTTTTCCTACAGGCTCTGTCAGAACCTATGTGACCTGCGATGACAGGCAACAACTCCTCTCCATCCAAAAACAGCACTGCCACTCTTAGCAACATCAATCTGCAAAGCGGGCAACAGCAACCCAACCCAGGATTAGGGCATAGCCAACCCTGTCATAGATAACAACCTATAAGTCGCAGTAATGGAGAGAATATAAAGAGTGCATGCACGGCCAAGGTACGATGCACCACCATCGGGCCCAAGAGGCAAGTAAAACGTCGGCAGCGAAACAAGCGCCCCTGGCCCCCGCACCGCACCATGACCATGACAGTCGGACAGCCTACGTCAAACCCACTGGGCAGAGTAAAAGCCCAGCCAAACTGCAAACCCCAGTCACCAACCTGCGCAAAGGAGCAAGCATAAAGCTGCAACCAGGAGCACCTCAACTCATCCAACGAAGCCAACGGCGGTGTCCGTACACCCGTCTAATTAAACTAGTGTGACTATCGCAACGAGAAGTGTTAGCCTGCAACAAAGGCAAAATGTCCCGTGCACCAAAAAGTGATAGCATGACAGGTCAGCAACAGAAACCCCCAGGCAAGCGTCCCTAGCCACAACAAAGCCATCGGGAAAGCGCTGCATCTGAAGCATCTGAACATGGACAAAACGTACTCTATTAATCACCCAAAATTTGCCCCACCTTACCCTACGTCAAGTCGGTATTATATAGTTACAGAACAGCGTTGTTGCCTACCGCCCAAGCGGTAACCCCGCTAGACAGCTCCCCCTTCCCATTCACAAACACCCGCCAACCACCCCTTACGCCTTGAACTCAAGCAGCATCTGGCTGTCAGGCGCGAGCCCCACACAGGCGCGCAGAATGTTTTCAAGCATCGCCCGCTGCTTCGCCAGCGCATTCACCACAGGGGTGCCGTACGGCACTAGCGGCGCCTTGGTGAGGTACGACAGCAGCACGGCAATGGGGTGCAGGCCGTGGAACGCCTCCTCGTCGTCCTTCTTCAGGTTGATGCGGGTGATGAGCTCCGCCAGCAGCACAAGGTCCAGGATGATGGGCGCAGCCAGCAGGGAGTCCTCGCAGGTGTTGTGGATGACCAGCGTGTTGCGGCCGCCCATGAAGATCTCGCTCGTGTACTCGTCCATGGCGCGCTTCGAGTCGCCCACGTACGGCACGTACTTGATCACCACCACGTGGTCTGGGTGCTCGCCGGGCGCGTAGAGGATGCTGTTGGAGGCAACCATGTCGTCCACCACGTTGGACTTGGAGATCTCCTTGCTGCGGAAGGTCTGAGGCGCCGAGAGGTTCAGACCGTCGTTGTTGCCCAGGTGGTTGTACGACACGATAGACGTGGGCTTGATGCCGGCGCCGACCAGGAAGTCCACCAGCACCGACTTAAGCTTGGTCTGGCCCGACTTGAAGTCGTCACCGCCGATGAGGACGTTGTGCTTCACGGCCAGCTCAATCATTCCGGGCACAAAGGTGTTCTGCGGGGAGCCGTTGACGAAGGGCACGCCCTCCTGCACGCAGGCAACAGCGTACAGGGTGCTGGGCGCAATCTCCGCCTCGTTGCGGTCGATGGCGGCCTGCAGGTTGTCAGCGGTGTCGTTGAGGCCCTCCATGACCTGCGCGAACCGCTCCGTGTTGGCCGTCCAGAGCACCACGACCTTGTCCAGCGCGTTGGACTCCTTGAAGGCGCGAATCTGCTGGCGCACAGTCTCCACCTGCTCGCGCTTGGTGCCCTTAATGATGTTATCGGCACGCTCCTCCTGGTTGGCGGCCACAAAGTCCGGGTCGTAGATGCCTGCCAGGGGAAGCAACGGGGGGAAGGAGGGAGGGTTAAGAATGATGTGGAGAGGATAGAGGCACGGGTACCAGGGGTGGGCCGGGAACGTAGTTGAACGGCTGTGATACCATGGACAGGGCTGAACGAGCTTATTCTAGAGCGAGCGCGTGTGGGGTGGTATGCAGGATAGTAGGGTACCAAAGCGGCTGACACGGCATTCATAGCCTTCGCTTATCCAATCCTATCGCCTAGAGGTTACGGCACCGCGAATAGTGCACGTGTGGGTTACTTCACAACGTTAATGCCATGATGTGAGCCCCGCGTATGACCGCGTGGACTGCTTAGCAAAAGGGACAAAGTGCACTGAGGCAGCTGAACCCAAGCATACGTGGCCCGATGGTTTCCATGTATAACGCTCGAGTTCTTCTCCTGTGAGTCGCAACTATCTAAGGAAACGGCAAAGATACCACAAATGCGGAAACACCCACCAGGCAAGGGAACCATGTCGCGCATGTAGGGCACCACCTGCTCCTGCAGAGTCCAGTCCAGCACCTTGGCCCGCTCCATGGCCTCAGCTAGGTTCAGGCCAGAAATGTCCCAGCCACCAAGCACGATGTCCGTGGGCTCAACCATAGGCAGCAGGGCCTTGAAGGGAGCGTATACCTCCTCGCCCTCATAGTTACCAACGCGCACAGTTGCGGCCTGAGTGAGAGAGCCGTAGAAGTTCGGCTTCTTAAGACCGTCCTTCGTCATCCAGGTAATGCCACTGCGGGAAAGTCCATCCAAAGAGGATCGGTCACGCAAATGTACCCCAAAAATGAAAGCCACAGGAAAGGCAAACAGTAAAGAAACTTACTGTTTGTTAGCCAGGATGCCGGCAGTCAGCGTCGTGCCGTTGTTGCCGCCCCAGCCCACGAGCATGACTCTGCGCGGGAAGGCGGCAGAAGTCCTCGTTCCCGCGTCCCTCCAGCAGGCCGATACAAATGGCCACTCGGGAAAGCTCTGCCGCATATTAATCCTTACCCTAGCTTCGGCACCTTGCGGTCGACACGGAACTGATAGGTGGCCTTGGTCGGCTTGACGACCCATTTGCCATCAGCAGCCCGGTCCAGCTTCGTCGAGGCATACTCATACGTGCTAGTGATGTGCTCATCAGAGTACACCACGTTGGGAGACTGCACTTCAAAGTTCTCGACCAGCATTTTTGTAGAAGAACCCTGTGCGTTGGCAAAAAGAGTATGACGCAGCGCCCTACAAGGTATGTCAAAGAAGCGCTAATGTCACTCTTGTATCTGGTTGTCGGCTTGTAGCGGGCTTTTTAAGTGTTTATGTTATTTTTCATGGACGTACGGCAGTCGCGAATGGAAAAGGTTCCTAGACCTTCCAGGCTGCATCTGTAGCTGGTTTGGAATATTGTCATACACAAAAATGCATGGCTTAGCTGAGGTTACCTTCTACAGCAGAAGCCGGCGTGTAGTAAGCGCTGTCCAAAGGGCGCGTCAGTGGTCATTATGGTCGGCGTCCAGTCGGCGTGTACTAACGAAGTGGCTGTTAGTCCTTATGTTTGACATGGCTGGCACCGGCCAGCACCCACCGTAAATGTTTGAGTCCCGCCCTTCGATACCGGTAAGCGCGACGGACATGTATCGACGGAAGACGTCACCCAATCGTTGCGCGAGAGAAACCCGAACTACGCTGCCTGGTGTAGCCAAAGTAAGTTTCGCCTTTGGGCAATTTATAAAGACAGCAATGGCGGGGAAGGTGCATTGACTTTGATACCATCCCAGGGCTGAGCATCGAGCGTAGCGTGGCATAGACTGATCCCAAAACTGCGCCGTTCACAGGGTATGGCACAGTCTCTTACGCCACAGGCGTTTCATTAAGGGTACCTCCCAAGAGCCTCCTCAATTCCCACCAAACACACATAGCCGATTACACACTTTCTTTCCACTAAGGACATGGCACGCACATAGCCGCCCAGAAAGAGGTTCAGACACCTGCGTTCACACGGAGGTCAAGACGCAACCATAAAGCGCTCGGGGTACAGTCGAGCAAGCAATTAACGGTATGCCAACAACAACATGCGGTGTAAGGCATCACGCTGATGAGCAAGTGCAAACAACCCGAACAACGTTTCCCGCATGGTATTGCACTCTCAACACGGCACAACCCAGTGACACGGCATCGCCATGTCCACTTAATGCACACCAGTTCACAGTATGAAGACTTTCTATAAGTTACCAAGCTCACAAAAGTTGTGCCATGCGCACCCGGCTTAAGTTAGTGCGAAGACCTTAAGCTGGCTAGGGGCCATACTGGATGCTTAACCTAAAAGCAAATAACGCCTCAGACTACAGTGGTAGTCACAGCTTTCGCAGCCTGCCGCCGTCAGCCCTAAATAGCACGCAGATCAAGCAACCCAAATACCCAACCCATGGCGCACCCCTCACCCCCCCTTAATAATCCTTGCTACCAACCGACACAAACTCAATACCATACATCCCGCTGGTAGCGCCCTGCGTCCGACAGCGCCTGCAGGTACGCCTGCGCCCCCTCGGGGCCGCCGCCCTGCCGCTCGGCGATGAGGGCCAGCAGCGCCGCCTCCACCGCCCCGGCCATGGAGCCCGCGTCGCCGCACACGTAAAAGTGCGCGCCCTGCTGCAGCAGCTCCCACACCAGCTCCGCACTCTCCGCCAGCCGGTTCTGCACGTAGACCTTCTGCTTCTGTGTGGGTGGGGAAAGCAACGGGCGACACGGGAAGACGTCAGCGGCGAGGCAGGGGTCTGCAGTGAGCGGAGCTGCAATGCGCTGGCTCCGTCGTGGTAGAGGGCACGACAAGCCGGCTCCGTTTGATACACCTACGGCCAAGTAGCACGGCAAAAACAGCCATCATAGTGCATGGCCCCAATCATGCTCTAGGATATGTAAAGACAATCACAGTACGTCCCGACCCGCGGCCAGTTTTCTTAACAGACACCCACCTGCTCGCGCGAAAAGGCGGTGTACAGCGTGATCTTGCCCTCCGCCGACCAGCCCTCCAGCAGCTTGCCGTACAGGTAGTCCTGGTCTCGGCGCCGGCAGCCAAAGTACAGCACCATGCGGCCGGGCTGATCCGCGCACGCCCCTCCGCCGCCCGCCTGCGCCGCCGCCGCCAGCAGTCGCTCCATGACGAAGGAGCGGAAGGGCGCCAGGCCGGTGCCGGGTCCCACCATGATGATGGGGGTGGCGGGGCTGGCGGGTAGACGGAAGTCGGGGTTCTTGTGCACGTAGACAGGCAGCCGGGAGCCAACCTGGCGGAACAGGAAGGGGTCGCATAGGCATGGAGAGAAGAGCGTTTGGGGAAGGTGAAAGGACTATCCGTCACAGGACGAGGAAAAAGAAAGAGGGCTAATTTGGACGGTGCTTGTCCTGAGGGGTTGATGTCCATAAGGCCCATCTCACTCCCAGACTGTGTACTACATGTGTATGCGCACCTGCAAGCGCTCCGACAGCATGGTGGAGCATACGCCGATGCGGTCCTTGCCCAGGCTCGCATACTTGACCTCAGCCACCGTTACTTGCACGCGGCGAGGGTCCTCCAGGGGAGAAGACGAGATGGAGTAGAGGCGCGGTTGGAGCTGACGAAGGCATGACAGCACCTGCGCACGCGGGAAGAGGGCCAGTTTGCTTAACACACGAGAGAAGGGATGCAACATGAGTTATTGTAGGCAGCATGCCGGCTTGCCTTGGCGTGGTTGCTGCTAGTCCCTCACGCTAGACCGACACAGGATACACACCTGACCTGGCCCCTAGCCCTCGGCAGCCAATCACCAGCTTACGGCCGACTAAGAAGCTGACCAAGCCACCCTTCGCAGCATGCAACAGCGATCCCACCCTAGCCCTGCGACTCCACAAGACCATGCAAGACGCTCAACCAGCCCAAGCAGCCCAGCTTGTTACCTGCGCGGTGCTCAGCTTCACGGGCACCGCATCCTGCAGCACATCTACCACGTGGCGGGGCGCCAGGTAGGCCTCCAGCGCCGAGGCGTCTGCCAGAGCCCCGCGGAGCTGCTCGTACGGCGAGGGAGCAGCGGTGGTGCCGTTACCGTTGGCGGTTGGCGGGTGTGCGGCTTCCAAGGCAGCGACTAGCAGCTTGACTAGTTCGGGCTTCGGCGACCTGTGAAGCAAAGGAAGCAAAGGGCAAAGTGGGTCAGCCAAAGCGTGATGGTGTTTGTTGTTTACGAGTCGTACTTCCTATGAAGAGACGGGTTAACATGGTGTACCGCATGCAAGCATTGTCAGTGGCTCTCGCCCCATCCTGGTCCGTCGTCCGCGGAAAGATGAGCCCCGGCCAGTAATTACCTGAGGTCATAGCACTTGGTCAGTGCCTCAGACAGCTGCATGCCGGCGCGGCTGCCCTCCTCGTAGTGCCAGCTGGGCACCGCCACCTGCTCCGAGGGGGAGGCACCCATGACGGCCAGCAGCTCCTCCACCGCCTGCCACACCACAACGAGCTCAGTGGTTTACCATCCGACAAGGACGCCGGTAATGACGTGCATTGCCTCCAGGGCAGCAATCGGTCCCACCGCGTGGAACCCTCATAGCCTGAAGTCCCCACGTGGAACGGAATCCAGGTTCTTCCAGCCCAGCAACCAAGGCAGGAAGGAAGTACCGGCCGACCCAATTGGCGAGTTCGCAGTTTGCCGGCAACCGACATGCATGCGAGCAGTGCCGCGTAACACCTTCCTCCAGAACCCATTCCCACCAGCACCCACCTTGCTATCGTTGGTTGGGTATATCCCCAGTGCGTCGCCTGGCAGGTAGGTGATGCCCGAGTCACCCAGGTCCAGCTCCATGCGCACCGTGTTCTTGTCGTCGGCGCCGGACAGCGTGCACAGCCCCTCCAGAGCCAGCACGGAGGCTGTGTACGGCCGGCTCTTGCCCCATTTCTTGGGCCCGGAGGCCTTGTCGGCATCAGCGACACCCGAGACAGCTGCAAGGGCCGGGGGAAGCGCCTGGTGAGGCAAGATGGTGGTGGGGTGGGGTTCCTGCAGTAGCGCGCCATGCGAGCAGACGGGCCAAGCGGCCAACCCAGACAGACGCCACCATTAGGAGCCCGCAGAAGGCTAGGTGTCAAAACGCCGCCAACCGCCTCGCAACCCAAACTCACCCAGGCCTAGCTCGGCAAAGCTCTTGAGTGGCAGCTCCTTCACCGCCGCCACCACGGCCCCCAGCCAGGCGTCCACCACCGGCCAGTCCTCCTTGTTGACCTCCGCCCGCTCCACCAGCCGCTGCGCACCCGCGCCCTCCAGCGCCGCATCCAGCTGCTTGCCGCAGCGGCAGAAGTGGGTGTAGGACCTAAGCGGGTGGCGGAGAGAAAGAGAGAAAGTGGAGAGGTTGGGAAGCCCCTGTAGATGAATGACTAATTGACTACACACCCCGGAGGTTGGAGGCAGGCAGGCACTCCGTTCCATAACACGCACGAAAGCGCTTAGCCACAGTGTCTTACTTGTCTCCCAGGGCACACACGGCGAACTTGAGGTGTGCCAGGCTGCCCGCCTTGCCCGCGAATAGCCACTCGCAGAACTCGCGAGCCTCGGTGGGTGGCACACCATCGCCCTGCGGCACCAGACAGGCAGGAACGGGCGGCATTCAGAACTTCAGACCAGAGGTTGATCCTTGGCGCGAACTTGTAGTAGTCGTGGACTGAAGGCAACTATGCAGGGCGCCACGCATGGGAGCGAGCAATGGCGCAAAGGCACTTGCAACGGCATGCAGCATATGAGGCATGGGCGGCATATCCCAACGGCATTGGAAGCAAAGCGGAAAGTAAGAATGCGCTGTGTGATGGGTGTCGTGCTGGCGTTGGCTGTACCCTACCTGAGTAGAGCAGGCGACCAATGCCACTTGCACCTTGGAGAAGTCGTACCCAGAGGGATGGTCGGCCATGTTCTCAAGCTGGGGCCTGAAAGAGGGCGGAAGACGGAGGGAGTGTACACGCTAGCTGAAGAGGCATAGCCTGTTTCCCACGCCTTAAAATTAGGTTTTGCATGCAATGACCCAATTCCAGGATGTGTCGACGAGCCCTTGAACTTCCCCAACTCGACGTCTACTGTACGCCGCTACACCCATGCGACCCACCAAACGCCGCCACACGCTGAAAGCATGCTGCAGAGCTTCTCGGCAATCTCCTTTGAGAAGCCGTACTCCGTGCCGTACAACACCAAGACCGGCTTCATGTCGGCGGAAGGACCTTTCCGCTCAGGGGCAGAGGCCGGCTGCTTGGCGCCGCTTGGCTTTTGACCGCTCTTGGCGGGTGCGCTGCTGGCATTGCTGAGCAGGAAGCTATTGAAGTCCAGCGGGTTCCGGGTATCTACCTGCTCGCCTGCGTCCTTGAAGAAGGCGTCAATCGTGCCGCTGCTCCTGCCAGGCTCTGGCTGGCCGCCAGTGGAGCCTACGGGCTCCACGACTTTCAGGAAGCCGTCGAAGTCGGTGCGTTCATCATCGGCGGGACGCCGGCGACTCAGCAAGTACCAAGCGACAGGCACGCCAGCGGCGATTGCCCATCGCCAGTATGTGCTCGATTTAGACGCCGGGGCATCGGTAGTGGGCATTTCTCTTAGGAGCTGGTCGTTTATGCAAGCGTTAAGTTAGAGCGCGGGACTATTTCTAGTCACCAGACCCAAAACATATGTGGGCCGTTACGGCCCTTTTAAATATGTTATCCAACGTCGCGAAGCGCAGGTGAAACGGGGTCGGGCTATCGATCAGATGGGCGCGCGTCTCTGTCTCTTTGCAAACCCGATGGCATAAGGCGGCTACTTGAAAGAAGGCCTTGCTGGCAAGCGATTAACGAATTTCTTTGGGCATTTGCCATGCATGGCGCATGGGCAGCCGTACGGATGGAACCAGCTTGGGTTTAAAAGGTCATAGAACCCCGCCATCAATTGCATACTTCGCCCAAACCGCAAGCAGTTACAGCACATCTGCCTTTACTACTCCCAGTCTCTTAAAACAACTCGAGGTCTTTGCAAGGCGACTCCCATCGGCAGCCATGGCTCAGAACAACATCCAATACTCCGAGAAGTATTATGACGACGTTTATGAGTACAGGTCAGGCTAGACATACGGATTCCTACCCGATCTGGCGCAAATGTACTAAGCTTGAAACTCCTAACTTCGCATGCGCAGGCACGTCGTGCTTCCCCAGGAAATTGCTCAAATGTTGCCCAAGGGCCGGCTTCTATCCGAGGTGTGTGAACACGTCTCCGGTTGTTGTTCGATCTGTCTGTTTTGCGGGAGTCACGGGGTCACATTTTTTCCTGACATGCCCGCAGAATGAATGGCGCGCCTTGGGAGTGCAGCAATCCCGCGGTTGGGTTCACTACGCTATCCACCGGCCAGAGCCCCACATCATGCTCTTCCGGTGAGATCTATGAGTACATGCCTGCGACGAGGTTGTATACCCACAGCAACGTTTTCTTACGACGCAGGAGGCCCAAGGGCTATGGAACAGGACCTGTTGCCCCCGACGTGCTCCAGGTGCAATGAACGCGTACAGGCTTAGAGCTATTCCACGCTATGCACGATGGAGGTACGGCGCTATGGCGGAGCAGCGCTACTGGCCGCCGCGATCAACGGTTTTGCGCTGTGCATTTGTCGTCATCGCCTTCAGTCCTGGCAAAGGAGCGAGCAGGCGTCGTGGCGGTGATGTCTTGAGTTAGCAGGAGGGCTGGTTAAGGTGGCTGAATAGCAGTTAGGGGTGTGTGACCATGACCATGTGTATTATTGTTTACATTCAATGCCAAGGGGACACAATTCGCCGGCCCCGCAAATGAACGAGATCATCATAGCATAGATGGTATCAAATACCATGGCCACATCTCGAGTGTCGAACAATGTCAAGAATGCACCAACCTACGTGTGTGTGCCCATGGTGAAGGCAACGGGCAGAAGGGTTACCTACAGCGGTCACTGTCTATTCCACTGCTAGTACCCGCGCTCGCCTATTCTAGTGGACCTGAACCTCCGCTACCGAACTTTTAATGAGCGACATATATCGCGTCATGTCACCGATAATGCATTGTAACGAACGAGGTACATAAGGTACAGCCGTCTCCTCGGCATTACATACGTGCCATTCGACGTATTAAAGCATACGGTAACAATACACCACACACAGTCTCCCTGTACACTTTGTGCAGCGCACAGCCAAATAAAACAAATGCAGTGCAGTCATGTCGACGGGTAACGAATACCCAGTTAAAACAGTCGCGCGTCAAGTGATATGCAGTGACAAACATGCTTGAACACCCCCTGCTACACGTTGCGCTCGGGTATGAATGCATTCTTCTCCATGCACCTATCTGCAAGCCAACTAGTATTCCTGCGTTGCCTACTACTCTTCCAAGACGTTGATGATGCGGCCCTCCACTCGTGGGGCAATGCAGTAGTGGCCACCCTCCGGATGCGTCACTGCAAGTCCGTGAGTCCGTGCCTGGGTCACCGCGGTGGAGTTGTTCTGGAACTTGCCTTGTGCATCCGCGTCCATTCCAGCGAGGCTGAAGAAGCAGACGGGGGCCAAGACGGGAGGTAGTAGGGCTTAGCGACTAGGCAAGAACACGGCGACCATGCAGATCAGCAGATACCCTGTGAAGTGTCAACGCACAGACCTGGTAAAGGTCACCCCCCAGCCCCATTACCAACCATACGGTACCAAGGTAGGCTCCATCCTCACGCATGTGAAGCTTTCACCAGCCATGAAACCCCGCCTGGCCACTCACTTGTTTATGCTCTGGCTGGACTTGACCTTCTTGATCCACCGCGACGCCAGCGAGCGCATGCAGATCTTCATGTCATCCCACTTGTTCAGCACCCGCAGCTGGATGAAGTGCCACTTGATGGACGACGGCAGCACCACACCCGCCTCCCCGTCCACCAGCATCTTGCAGTCCTGCGCACACAACAAGCCACAGCAGGCGGCTCGCGATTTATACACCTCAAAACCGCACCCGCCACCCCAGCCTCTGCTAACTTGCCAACCCCTACCCACAGTCCTTACACCTACGTTATAGGACACCTACGTTAAAAGGAGGACCAGACTGACACCAGTGCTCAGACCCAGCCTCACAGTCCCAACCTGATCCCGTATTAACCCACCATCCCGTAACCCACCAGGAACACGTTGAAGCCGTCCTTGCCCTGCGCCAGGTACTCCTTCACCGCCACCTTGTACGTGCGCTCCATGTCCAGCGGCTCCGGCTCGCACTCGAACTCCCACAGGTACACGCTGCCGGGCACGATGCGGCTGCCGGGCGGCTTGGAGGGGTCGAACTTGAACTTCATGCCGCTGACCTGCGGGAAGCGCCCCTCCAGCTTGGGCCACTGCGACACGCTGTTTTCCAGCGCCGTCACCACCTGCGCGCCCGTACACTCCAGCAGCACGGTGTTGTCGATCATGGGCAGGATGGACACGAAGTCGCGCGCCTTGAGGATGCCGGCGGGGTGGATCATGTCGGACCTGCAGCGACCAGCAGACATGAGCAGCGGGAGGCAGCACTCACATCACCTCTCCACCTGCACCTCTCAAAGTCAGGGCGTTTCCTCGAGGCTCAGTTTGTCTAATCCACCTCTCCCTTGTCCCCATGTCCCCAGCCTCGTAGAGTGGAGACCGGCCTCCGGGCTTCTAGGTGTAGCCACGCCCAAGCTATGTGCCTGCTGTATACGCGCATGTGTCTTGGGTAAGAGCCACACAGCACTGCCGCCGTACCTGAGCGACCCGGAGTTGAGGATGGAGATCTCCGCGTTGGCCGCCTTGCGCCACACATCCGCCACGAAGTTGCCTAGATTGGACTCCCGGTTGCGAACCGTCTGGAAGCGCCCGTCCAGCGGCTCCAGCGTCTCACCTGCGCCGCGAGGTTACCGCAGGGGGTAGCGGTGCGCATGTTACGAGCAGCATGCAGCAAGTGTCAGGGCGGTGCGGTTGAAACCGCGAGGGCGCAGGTGGACAGCGACTCTGCAACCGATGTCTGCACTTCCCTCCCAGCCATTGCGTGTCTGCTGGGATGCCGGGGAGCTGGCTGCGAGTGAATGCGGAGGCAGCCACCGCAACGAGCCGCACGACCTTATGCGACGGTACGGCCGTGGAGAAGGCAGGGTAGTCCATGGGCCAGTGCTGACGGTAGCGACGCCCCATGCGGCCCCGAGGCTTGGAACGCGTGCATGCCCAGGGTCTCAATGCCGTGCCGTCCCCGGCCCAGACTGCTCTATAAGATTTCCAACATCCTAGCTTTTCAGGAGCTATGCAAGGCATCAGGGTGCGGCGGAGCCACCCACCGATGTCCTCGTCCATCTTCTCGCCCATCAGCTTCATGTACTCGGCGACGATCTGCGGCAGTGGAGACAGCGGCGGGGCGGGACGGCGCGGCATCTGGACCATGAACACTCAGACGAGCGACAAAACACCACCTGGTGTCCACCAAAGAAACAAGTAAAGACCACATCCTTAGACACAAGGGCCATCACACCAGTACCGCACCGCAACCCAACGTTTGATGGGTCCTGCCTGCAGCTCACCTCCTTCGTCGCGGGGTCCTCCTGCACCGACGAGTCGATGACGATGTGTTCCACGCTCATCTTGGGGTCCCGACTGCCCGCCGGGAACTCAATCTCGATGACCGACAAATCGCGGAAGTCCGTCCCTGCCGGGGCAGCAGAGGACCACGATACAGCCGGGGTCATCAAGTTAGCAGCATGAACGACAGTAAGCGGGAAGGTCTTAGCAAAGACGGTTAAAGGCATCCTACACCGATCCTGCAAGCCCCTCCCAGCCCGACCGTCCCCAGCCCCGGCCGCCTCCTCACCCGACTTGACCATCAGGTTGTTGTGCGGCTCTATGAAGCCCGTCACGTAGTGGTGGTCGTGTCCCCCCAGCACCAGGTGGAACTCCGGCACCTCGGCAGCCAGCTTGCGGTCGTTGGGCTCGCGCATGTGCGTCAGCGCGATCAGCAGCTCGGCGCCCTGGGCCTGGGGGTGCGGGAAGGGAGGCGGGGTTAGGGGAGGACAGTCGCATGGCCGAAGGGGGTTGAGCGGTGGGCGCAACCAGGGTGGGGCGTCTGTGGGTCCGGTACACGTAATGGTGGTTGAGTGCGGATGGTCATGGTTCGCCAACACGCTTGCGTATGGTGTCTCTGAACCGCGAAGCCATTCCGCCGTCTGTAACTGTAACTTGCTGCGTGTACAACTGTGTAACTGTCCTGGCAAAGCTGCATGCAATCAGTGCCCAGCAACCACCAGAAGCCGTTCTCAAGGCTGCTGGCGCCTACCTCCATTGCATCTACCCTGGCGTGCGCGCAGCACCGCGCCTCGAAACCGCCCCCGTGCACTCCAGGCGCACTCCTGCCGCGCATCGGTCCTCTGCTGCCTTGCGTGACTGTTCAACTTCCCTTAGGCTACTCGACGCTCTGACTTCTGGCCTCCTCCATTACCCGCCTCCCTGACTTCCTTCACGCTGTCTTGCGCCCCTAGGAACTCCCCCCATAACCCCCTCCACAGCAACCCTATCCTAACCCAGCCCGAGCCCCAACTCGGGCAACTCCCTACCTTCATAGCGCGCGCCGCCTCCCGCCCGACCTCAATGAAGTCCCGGTACTCCATGTCCGACACGTTGACCGCACCCAGCGTCTCCAGCCACTCCTCCTCCACCAGCCCCACCACCCCAACCTTGATGCCATTCCAGTTCTTTACCCACGTCACTCCCGCATTCGCGTACGGATGGTCTGTACGATATGTGCGGTACGGCGCGGGGGCACAGGGAAAGGAGGGGCAGGGGTAGCGGTGATGGGGTACGATGAGCCCGTGCAGGAGGGGAACGGTTGTATGGAAGTAGGAGCCGAGCCCAGCACAAGAGGTTGAGCGCCCTGTGCGTGCTTCGCAGGCCACTTGCCGAGTAAGGGTCCGTGCTAAGTCCTGCTGAGTAACACCGTCATGACGTATCGCGTGACTGATTGATCTCGGACCGCTACAGTACAGGAGACGCCTGAAGGAACCCTCGCATGTGCTGTTACCGTGTTATTAGGGGGAGGTGAATACTAAGCCGCGAGTCGTTGCATATATCGGTTTGGCGGCGCATTCGGTATACGCCTGCCCCTTAGGCCCTACCTGTCCCCTTCTCCAGAACGTTCGCCATGAGCCAGGGAAACTTGCACTGCGAGTTGAGCTTTAGCATGTTGTCAAGCCCGTAGTCGAAATCGTGGTTCTGGAGACGAGGAGGAAAGGGGTTCAGCAAGTATAAGGCACATGGGAGTGCAGGGGATACACTCACGCATGGGGCCAGGCAGGGGCAGTTCTATGGGATACATTGTGCGGAGGCTCGGCGCAGTGACGAGTGCTCGCGCTCAGGCGCCCAAAGTGGCAAGGGTTTGAGGTATACCCGACCTACCCCAACACACGAGACGTTCACGCCGATCTCGTTGAGGATGGGAACCATCTGCTTTCCTAATGTCATCGTTGACATTAGGCTCGGGTTGTAACAGTCACCGCTGAACAGGACGAGAGGATTGGCCCCGGTTTGTCGGATTTCCTTAACCTGCGGCGAGTATCAGCCAACATTCCACTTTAAATATAGCATCCACTTTATATATAGCATGGACATGAACGACAATTAGACGTGAGGGACTATTTTAAGGAAGAAGCTTAATGCGAGCGACAACCCATCGGACGCGGCAGCCCAACAGATCGGCATTTAAGTGCCCAATTCTGTTGCTTAATGAAGTACTCGTCCCGAGGAAGCTGTATGTCTGAGGGCGGGGAAACGGGTGTGTCTTTGTGCAACGCATTACCTTGCCACAGAGCCGTGCAGCTCCACCTTTAGGTTCCCGCGCCTGCTCCTCGATGTTATAAACGTCTGCAATCATGTTACGTCACAAAAGTGGATAGACGGTACGCCCAGCAGTAATCCAGCTAGCCTGATGCGGTGACGTTTCCAGTCCCGAGCCCTAGCTGACCATTAAAATGAATGATCGTCAGCTTGCGACTGCTGCCTCCATAAGCGGTGCCGTCATCTTGCGGCAAAGTGCTAAACGGCTCTAACGGGACGACCTGAGTGGCGCTCGGAGAGCTATCATCGGCCTTTTTGGATGGTGCCCAAGGTGTTTGCTCATCCCCTGGTGGTTTCACTTGGACTACTGGTGGCTCCGGTGCAACGCGAGCATACGTGCAAGTTGAGCAGCCGGCACCCATTTCTATGATCTATGAGGAGTTAAATAGACAGAAAAATACGCGATGCTCTCAAACGCGATCTAGTGTTGCACAGAAAGCTTAGAAGGTGCGTGTGGCCATAATGCCGTGACAACCGTACGTCGTACTAGTGTAGACGGGGGAAAACATATGGCCGAACATAATCGTCCTCACTCGCTGACAATATATTGTCATTTCTCTTCAATGTTCGCGCGAAGCCCTGTAGGCTTTTTGCAGCCAATTCCTGCCTTGGGCGGGGTGAGTGACAGATGTAATGCCCGTTCATCGGACATGGGACACCATAAGAGGACCATGGCTCCCCAAACGTTTTAGCTATAGCTGCCTTCTTATGATCAGCTAACGGGCATCCTGGGTTTCGGGGGGTTTCGGAGGTTGGCAGGGCGCCGGGCTTGCCATTTAACACTCATGAAAATTGGTAGACAGACACATGAGTTCAAGCCTGCAAATAGCCTCTGGCGGCGTCTGTAGTAAACGTGCAAACCCGTTCTGTGGCCTGTCCCTGTATCTGTTGGGCACGGTTCCCTGCCTTGTGCACGGCGTGCCCCCTGGGGGAGGGCGGTCGACGCCCTGTTAGAATGTACGTCTGACGATGGTCTCAGCTACTGTCCTCCAGTGTAACTTCCGCTTCCTAACCGGTTACCAGTGTAACTTCCGCTTCCTAACCGGTTGCTGAACGACATTACAGTCTTCTACAGACGCCAACGCCCATCCATGCAGAGCTCACTTTTCACCTTCTCCAACGCATACAGCCCCACAACCCCCGTACTTTACTTCTTAAGATCATAACCCTCTTACAGCTTCAATCCTAGGGCCCGGCCGCCTACGCCTACCAAGATGCACCAATGTGCGCGTGTGCGCGTCCCATCTCAACTCCGTCATTAGCAGCCCAGCAGCCCATGGCTACCGGTAACGGCCCGCGGCTAACAGCCCTTCTTGACGGTTGTCGTACACTAACGGTTGCTGCGGTTGCGGTTGCGGTTGCTGCCCCGCTGGCAGCTCGACGACCGCCTCCAGCACCAGATGGCTCCCCGCAGCCCGGTACACGCAGCACGGCCCCACACGCGGGGCGGCTGGCAGGGGTGAAGGGGGGGCGGGCGGCGCGTCTGCGGCGTCCGGTCCGCCAGCCGCCGCTCGTGAGGGCTGTAGTAGTGAGGAGGAGGAGGGCGGTGCGGCCACGGCCAAGCAGAAGCAGCCGCTTGGGGCTGTGGGGGATGGGTGGTGAAGGGGTAAAGGGTTAGGGGTGGAGGCGGGTAGGTAGGGAGGGCAGGGAAGCGTGGTCGGCAGGGCGGGGGCTCAGGAAAGACCAAACCATAGGAAACCACGGATCAGGGCAAGCCAATGGGGAAATGAGGCGGCAAGGTGCCATACGGCAAAGCAGTGCACTTCATATGTTGCGCGCCCAAGGCCCTTGGGAATTATGCCACAACGCATACGCTAGCAGACAATACGTCTGCCACCTCTCATGTTCCCCACGCCACCGTGGAACGCGCGCCCCCAACTCCCCCCCTCCGCCACCCCTCCCACCGGGCGGCGATGCGGCGGGCGTAAGAGCCAGTGTCAGCGGAAACCAGCGGTCGTAGATGTAGCGCGGCCTGCGGGGCTCCTCGCTCGAGTCCGTCACCATCAGCGGGCAGCAGCAGCCGCGGGAAGACCTGTGCAGGCGCCGCCGCCACCGGGAGGGGGCCAGCAGGGTGGGGTGAATGTGCGGGAAGAGGCGTTGTGCATGGTACATTGGAAGATGAAAAGCAAGAGATGAGGGGGGCACATGGATGTGTCGAATAAGCATGCATTACCGGTACGGCGCCAGGACTGACACGCCACGACACAGGGTATAGGAAACGCGCTTACACAACGCAGCGTCCCGGCCCTACCGGCACGGCACGGCACGGCGACTGAGCCTGCACCGGTACTTCCTGCCATCTGCCTTCGTTGATCCCTCCGCCGCAACCCCAGGCGCCCCCCGCCGCCCACCTGTACGCCTGCACCCCCTCCAGCAGCAGCGCCAGCGTGCGAACCAGCGAGCTGCGGTCGTCCGTCCTGTTTGTGCCGCGGGCGGTCAGGTGTGTGCCATGGTAAGGGGCGGGGCGCGAGTTGGTGAAAAGGGATGCAACGCACAGCAGAGGCGGGGGAGGGTGGCAGGGGAAGGTGGAAGAGGGCAGAGGTGAAGCAAGTTTTGCGGGCCGGACGAGCAGACAACACTCTTTGAGCGCTTGACGGTGCCGCCCGCTGGTGCCTGCTTGCACCGAGCGGGGGATAAAGAGGAAACAACTAACTGACTGAGGGATAAGGCGTCAACATGGGTTGCATCATGTGAGCCAAACCACAGGGGGCCAAACCACATGCCCCTCATGGTATCGCCATCGCTCATGCACCCCGTGACATGCTAGACGCGCACAGAGCCCACACTCCTGGCTCGCCGCGTCAACCGTACTACGATTTTTCGCCACTCGGCCTCCCGCCCGGTCCTGGTCCCCACCCTCGACCCACCGCACAACCGCGCTCAGGTCCTCCACCACAATGGCCGCATGGGCGCCGCGCAGCAGGTGCAGGCACGCGGCGAAGCGCTGCAAGTCCAAGTGACTGCTGATGTACCTGTGACACGAACAAACACATGGCGGCACGGGTCCGGTCGGTTATCGTTCTGGTGTGAAGCAGGAGAGCTGCAAGCTGCACGGCGGCAGGTCAGAAACCGCGGCACCCTAAATCATGCAGACAGGCCCCCGCAGGTCCCTGCTCCCACTCCCATTTCAGCATGAGCAGAGGTGACTGCAGAGGTGACTGCAGGCAGAAGGTTGGTGGTGCATGCAGCCCAGTAGCGCTTACTTGAAGTGAAGCAGGTGCAGGGCGGGATCGTCTTCGTCCCACATGTGCGGCAGCAGCGGCACGGCCTGCTCCAGCCCCTCTTGCCGGCACAGGAAGAGTGCCGGCAGGCGGGTGCAGGCGGCGTGGTGCAGCGCGAAGTGGAGCGCGAGGGAAGAGCGGTGGCTGAGGTCGGGGGCAGGGGGAGGGGCCGGGCGGTGGCATGCGAGTGGGGGGGCATGGGGACGGGGAATGGGCATGGCACCGGGTTCCATTGGTCCGGGTATGGTTTACGAGGGGAGGATGCTAAATGCTGCATGGTGGGGGTTTATGTGCCTACCTTGCGGCGGGTCCGAAGAGCAGCAGGTCGCATGCCGGGAGGTGAGGCAATCGGCCCATTGCTGCTGCTGCGCTCGGCGTTTGGGCCATCCCGGAGACCAGCGCCAACATCGGGTTGCCGATTGTTGCCGTGTGTTGTGTCATGTGTTGTGACTGAAGTGCGATGAAGACGACGCATGCAGAGGTCCGGCAATCTTAGAAGGTGTACTTCTACAGGAATGTTCCTTTTTCACTGCTTCCATCGGCATTGAGCCTCAACCTTTGTACAAAAAAGACATATATGTGCTGATTTGATGATAGGGACCGCCAGAGAGGGTGCCGAATTTAGGCAACAGATGTTGCATCAGTCATTCCAAGCAGTTTGGCTTACTGTCTATCAAGATCTAGGCAAAACCACTCGCGCTGAGCAAGCAAACAGCTGTTAAGTCGGTAAAGGCAGGGCGATAACCACGCGACTGCTAGAGTCTGTCACCGGCAAGCATCGCTGTACGGCAAAGGATCTCTAGCAGGTTGGCTGTTGGGGCAACCAGCAAAGGAAAGGCAGCTAAGCCTAGACTGTATGAGAGCGTTCGAGGGAGGGCCCCTTGCAGCGTTTGCCATTTGCGACCCCTGACGCCGGTCTGGCATGTGGCAATGCATGGCAGCAGCAAAGCTGGGCTTTATGCGCTTGGGTGGTTCCAGAGCTTGGGTGGCTCTTAGGCCTTGGAGTTGGCCCCAGCTGATATACGCGGCTTTTAAAGGCATTAATGGTATAAGATGGCTTAAGATGGAGCAGTGACGATACCATTGCAACGCCAACACGCGGATAGGCTCACACACCAGCTACTTGGCACAGGCACGCAGGGTGGCGTAAAGCAAAAGGATCACCTGTACTGCCACCCAAGGAAGAGAGGTGAAACACAAGGCTTTGTCACCCGTCACGGACAAACACATACCACCCCATGTCACACAAGTCACATCGCAGCGGCTCCGCCGCCTAGTTAACGCAGAATCACAGTTGCCTCACACACGCTCCACAGACGGGTTTGTCCTAACGAAGTTAAGCGGCGACCTAAGAATTTAATGCAGAGGATGTGTTTCCGTCGGTGGCCTCAGTACAAGGCGTGACTTGGTCCCCCCTCATGAATGGGTGCAAAGTTGCCATAAGTCAAACACGACTGGCCAAGCTGCCTTTACAGCGCCGTTTAGTAGGGCGCTACTACATCACATATTCGGAACACGGGCTTAAAGAGAACAGGACGACTCGCACATGTCGCAAAACCGTCCCATGTAGTGCAGGTCTAGCTTACCACGCCACGCCTGCATCAGCTTACCGAGTTCACAGGCGATTCCTGTGCTCCTATACTTAAACGACCTGCCACAAGGCAGGGCCTCAGTATGCGTTAACCGAAGTTCCTATCACCTCTGCAGCCCTACCACCTCGCCGTTCGTCTGCTTACAAACAGACCTCCCCAGTCGCGGCTCGCATGCTGCCTATCCTCACCACCACTGGTTATCACCTGCACATGCTGCCATGCCCCCACCCTACTTCCCGACCCATTCCCCTCTCCTCACAGCGCCCCCTCACGCCTTCGCCTCCTCCTTCACCTCCTCCTTCGCCTCATCCATCGCTCCCTCCTGCTGCTTCTGCTGCGACGGCGGCGCTTGCAGCTGTCCCCGCGTTGCATTGAACGGGAAGGTGCTGTGCTGCAGGCGGTGCCAGCTGCAGCTGCCCGGCTGCAACCGCAGCTCCCAAGTGGGCCAGTACTGCAGATCCATCTTCAGCGTCATCACCTTGGGCTGCGTCGTCTCTAGGTGGCACACCTTCAGCCGCACGAACTCCCCGTCTCCGCAGCCCGCCACCGCCGCCAGGAAGCTGTCCAGGTCGGGCGTGTCCACACCATTCACCTGCTGGATCCAATGCAGCGCGTACAGCCCGTAGCGGTGCGCGGGCGAGCCATGGTGCCAGCGGCTGATGTACACCCCCGCGGCGCCCTCGGGGAGGAACCCCAGCTCCCGCACCCCGCGGTGCGGCGCCTGCAGCTGTGCACCGCACCAGTGAACCAGCCGGCCGGTGCCCATGCCGTCCTCGCGACCCAGGACCACCTCCACGTCCATCACGCTGCCGCTGCGGTAGATGGTCAGGGTCATGGAGGGAGCTTGCGGCCCGCACCCCTGCGTCCCTGCCTCGGCGGCGCCTGAGTCGTCTGCCGACAGCGGCGTGCTGGCATCCGAAGCTGCGGCTGCGTCAACCACCACAGCCTCCGATGACGCACGCAGGCGCTTCGCTGGCGGCGCCTCCTCGCCGTCCCCATTCTCAACCACCTCCTTGGTACCCTTAGCAGCAACAACGCCGTTTGCTTTCCCACTGCCCCCATTGGCGCTTGCAGTGGCTGCTGCTGCCGCTTCCGCCGCCTCGCGAATGTGCCTCTCCACGTCTTGGAAGCACGTCACGGGGCGGCCCGCCATGGCCAGCAGCATGTCGCCGCTGCGCAGCACGCGGGAGGCTGCGGACTGCGCCACGCAGGAGCGCACCCGCAGCACCTGGCGCCGCTCGGGGTCCAGCTGGTCCAGCCGGCTGACCCACTCGTCGGGCAGCCCGAACTGCGCGGCCTTGGACAGCAGCACCGCCTCCAACTCCGCGTCCAACACGCTGTGAGGGTTTGGAAGGAAGGGGGGTTTTAGGAAGGAGGCGGGGGGGGGAAGAGAGAAGGCGTGGAGAAGGGGTGCGGGGTGGTAGATGGGAAAGGGATGCAGTGGTCGCATGCTTATGCAGAGGTGTGTTGCAGGGGAGCTGGAGCGGTGTTGTTGCGGGACCTTACTTGACGGCAGGCGGGGGTCCGGGCACGGGGCGGTCCAGCAGGCTCGCTAGCTGCTCCACCCAGGGGTGGAACACGGCGGCATGCAGCCCCGCGCACCACTCGCGCTCCTCCTTCTCAACCTGCGAAGCGTTGCGTAATGGGCACGTTAGGAGCTGCTTGCAATGTAACGCCAGAACGCATCAGCAGCCAACCGCGCTAGGTGGTCCAAACGTCCTGGTACGACGCATTTCCGCCTTCCCTCCATGCAAGCATAGAAGAAGCCACCACCCGGCTGCTGCTGCTGCCCCCCCCCCACCTGCTCCGAGTAGCTGCACCACAGCCCCCGCACGCGACCGCGGTTGTCGGTGAGGCAGCCGCTGAAGGTGGCGCCAAAGTCCTGATCCAGCTTGATCACCTCCTCGTGCACGGCGCGGAAGCGGGGCACCTGCGCCGGAGTTGTTGGAGCGCAGCAGGCGGAACAACAGCGGCATAGGGGAATCCGTTAATCAGGCTCACGCCTTACGTGGAAGGAAAATGGACTACGGTGATAGCCCCAGAAGGGGACCTGCTGCCTACGGTGCTCCTACCATACCTACGGTATGGGCATAGTCACAGCAGGAACAGCACACACACACACACACGGGCGGGAGAAGGCCAGCACCGCCCTGGGAAGCCTTTACTACTGGTGCGGCAGTACCGACGCCTGTGCACCAGACTCTACAACAGAATCTACAACGTCGCCGCGGGGTCCGCGCCTGCGTTCCAAAACCTCGGCCCCACCTCGGCGCTTGGAATGGTGAGTGCTGCGGTGGCGTTTGTGACGGTGGAGGTGCGCTGCATGACGCGCAGGTGCTTGGTGAGGCCCGCCAGCCGCACCGGGTCGCCGCGGCGCAGGGAGGGGTGCGGCAGCAGCTGCGCGGCGCGGACCTGGGGGGCGGCAGCAGCGGGGAGAGGGATGAGGTAGAGGGGTAGGTAGGTGGATAGGGAGGGGTTTAGGGGCGCAGGAGTCGCCAGGACTCGCGGCGTGAGTAAAAAGGGTACCACTATCCATGTCATGCTAGGTCCAGTCTGCCTTCAACCAACAGCTGGAAGTACTCTACAGCAGTACGTGCATACACATTACGTACGGACAGTTATTTCAACACATTACGTGACCTGTGCAACTGGGGAAAAGGGGCATGTGCAGGACCATGATGACGCCTCAACAGAAGCTACCATGCTAATCACCTCTAACCCCCACCTTGGCCCTGGCTTCCGCCGGCAGCGCCGCAGGATCGTACGACACGATTGCAAAGTTGTGCAGCGGGTGCAGGAAGCGCACTCGGCCGCTGATCTCCGCGGGGTGCGCTCCGAAGCTGAGGTTGACGTCGCAGGGCCCCACCGCCACCGTGTTGCGGTCCACCAGCACCAGACCCACGTGCTCCCCCGCGTATACCACCAGACCGTTGCCTGGCAGGGATGGGAGGCAGAGGGCGGAAGGGTGGAGGAGCGGGGAGGGTGGCGTCGGTGTGACAGTAGTCAGGACACCCCTCTCCAGGCACCGGCAAGCGTGTACGGAGAAGCAACACCGCCTTGCAACGCCCGTGAGCCACTTACTCCACCCCAATACCAACCGCCAAAACACCGCTCTCCTCCCCTCTCCTGCCACCTGCCACTTCTCCCCCCGCCCCCCTCACTCACTGCATGAGTCGGGCTATGGGATTGGGACTCTAGTTGTTTGCATTTATTATATAATTTTCCCCCCTACCTGCGAAGCTCTTGCTGTGCACCCCGTCCGACAGCGCCACCAGCGGGATGTCGATGTCCACCAGCACCAGGCAGCACCGCAGCAGCTCGTCCAGCTCCTCGGACTGGGCGGGGTGTAGAGGAAGCGGGATGGGGCGGGAAGGGGCAGGGAGAGGAGAGCTGTTGCTTTTTGAGTGTCGTCATGGGGGGACGGTCAGTCCCGAAGCCGAAACGCCCCTAGACACGCCGTATCCTCTTTCCTCGTGTCTCTTACCGGCAAGTCCCCAGCTGGGCCGTCCCCAGCTGCGGCGGCCTCGGGTTCTGTAGCCGCCGCAGCATGGCCGTTGGCGAGTGACCCGTGGGTCACCGCCGTGTCCGTATCCATGGGTGCGGCCTCGCAATGGCCATTGGGCAGCTCCGTCTCGCTGCTGCCGGTCTGCGGCGCCGGCAGGGGTGGCTCGGGCGGCGGCGGGGCGCCAGCCGGGTAGTCCACGGTGGGGTGCCAGGCCCCGGCGGCGTCGTCGCGAGTCCAGAAGACGGGCGGGCCATACCTGTGCAGCAGGTGGCAGCGCAGACGGGTGGTTGGGAGGACGTGTATGGACGGTGAAAGCAGCGGCAAGTGATGAAATCATGTGGGTTTTAGGTGACGAGGACCGTAGCCGATAAACCCATGACTCGTAGCATGCCTCACCCCATGCCCGGCCCTCATTCGCTCACCACTGCCGGTCGACGTGCAGGATGGCGTTCTTGCGGCGGTGTCGCTCGCTGAAGGTAAAGTACTCGAGCGGGGCGCGTGCGCCGTGCGGCAGGGTGCGCAGCACGGTTGCAAAGGTGAGCAGGTCGGGGGTGGGCTTGCCGTTGAGGGCGGTGATGATGGCGCACTTGGGCACGTTGGAACGACCCTGGGCGGCGGGGTGCGGCAGGTGGGCAACAGGGGGGGATGCTTTGGAGCGTGCAAGGTGCGAAGAAGCGTGTAGCGCTAAGGTGGAGAAAAGACAGCTGGATGGAGAAGGCAGGCAGCTGCTGGATACAACCAACACTCCCAATAGGTGTTGGTTTCCGCCCTCTAACAGTATGTGATATATATCCGTCCAAGTGCCCAGTGCATACACAACCCTGCCATGCACCCATGTACGGCACCCATTACCGGCTCCGGTGCCGTACTCACCAGCATGTATCCCGGCTCCGCCACATACACCTGCCCCACCACCGCGCGGTTGTTGCGCGCCTGCTGGTAGCTGAGCGCGTGTACGGCACCGCCCGACAGCTCCAGGAGGCAGTTGGGCGTCACGGAGTGCAGGTCAGTCACCTGCACCTCGGCGCGGATCTGTGCAGGGAGAAAAGACCCAACATGGGAGATCCATTACTATGAAAGGAAATGGCATGCATGGATGGATGTGCCGATTGCGTCTCGGCGCATGTAGTGCCTTCCAAGTGGCCGTCAGAGACGTCCTAGCAATAACCGTTTAACCCAAATCAGTTAGCCACGCCCAGCGTGCCCGGCATGGTTACCGGTCTCTGCTTTTACGAACCTTCGTAAGCACCCAAAACTGCCGCCCCCCACCCACTCACCGGCTTGCCTCCCCGCTCCAGCAGCAGCTGCACCCTGCCCTCCCCGCCCCGCATGCGCTCCTGCGCCGCGCCGTCCAGCACCTCCTCCAGCGCCAGGAAGTGCGTCACCACGGCACCGCCCACCTCCACCAGCACGTCGCCCGCCTCAATCACGCCGTCGCAGGGGCTGCCGGGCACCACGCTATCCACCACCAGCATGCCCGTAGAGTGCTGCAGGCCTGGGGGGGTGGCAGGCGGTTGAGGTGCAGCAAGCGGCGTGAGCGGGAAGATTATATCATTTATATGGGAAGGCCGGAGTCAGAGATGACCGATGGCACGCAAGCAATAAGGGACAAGCACGAGCCTTGCGCTGTAGTATGGTAGCTGCTGCCGAGGATGTCACCCGAGGTATAGAGCTGACATGCAGCACACAATCAGCAGTGGGCCAAGACCGGTACCGCACATGCCGCTCCACAGGAGGACTATCCGGAGCTATACGTGATAGCATATAAGTCAAGCGTCCTCACCTTCCGGCGTGGGCGAGGTCTTGGAGTTCCTCACGCGCCGCTCCGTCTCCTCCTGCAGCCCCAGCCGCCGCACCTCGTCAAAGCCCTTGAACACAAAGGTGGTCTGCAGGTCGCCTCGGGGGATGACGGGCGCCGGCCAGCCCGGCCCCTCGCCGCAGGCGTCCTTGCCAGCCTGTTGCAGTCGGGGCAACCCAAATGACGACCGAAATGAGGAATGGGCGTATTAGGCATCCGGGATAGAGCACTGCGTGTGATACCATTTCCGCAATAATCCCGTATCAGCCCGCGGAAGGGCAGCTGGCAACAACAGCTCCCATGGCCGCCGCAAGCCCAATGCCTACCAAAGCCCTACCACAAGCTAGGTAAACCCAATACCTATCGTAACCCACCTGAATGAGCTTGAGCGCGCGCACCACCCGCTCCAGGGGCAGGTAGTAGGCGGAGGCGGCCTTGTTCTTGCCGCCCGCGTTCAGCCCCACCGCGCGGCCCTGGCAGTCGATCACGGGCGAGCCGCTGGAGCCACCCTTGGTGCCCGAGGCAGCCTGCAAGTAGAAACTGCGGAGCAGCAGGAGCAGCAGGAGCAGCAGGCGCAAAGGGGGAAGGAAGGAGGAGGGACGGCGATGTGGGTCACAGGAAAATGTGGGTCCTAGAGGGTGTCATGTCGAAAACTCAGTGCCAAGTGGCCAAGGGCCCAGTGCCAACGGCAACAGCGCTTCGGATGTTCCTGGTTAAGCCTGGTCTGATCTGACCTTTGCCTGGCAAAGCCCTGCCATGGCCACGCCCACTTACGTGTTGAAGTCGTTGTAGCTTTTGCGGCCGTAGTTGGGCGCGTCGCGGTCGAGGCGTGCTAGCGTGCCGGCCAGGATAGACACCTGCACGAGTGAGGAAACCGGCCCGGCAGCGGAACGTATTAGACATGACGCACAACCTTGGCAAACCCCCGTCCGATTGCACACAAGAGTCAACCAACAATAGCGTAGAAACCGCCAAGCCCGTCTTGCTACCACGCCATTCAACTCCTGAACGCGCCTCCTGCTGCATGTCCTCACCTTCTCTCCCTGCATGTCCTCACCTTCTCTCCCGAGTCGTTGCCCACCACGCGGATGTCCAGACCCACGGTGGCAGCCTCCGGCGCCAGCGGCACCTCGCCCACCTCCATGAACTTCAGCCGGCTGGGGTCGAAACGCAGGAACGCGAAATCGTGGACGGGGTCTGCGTACAGGGATCAGAGGAAGGTGTCAGGCGTGGTAATAAGGGACCGTTGGTTCCGTTGCGTCGTACGCGTAGCAGGCAGCTGCGGGGCTGACAGGCGTGTCCCGGGGCGAGGGACATGGACCCGAGGTGCTGACTGCTGAGCCGGAGTATAACCACGTACCATAGTAGAGGGGGTACACGGGCAGCTCCTCGCGGTTGAGGAAGATGGCCTCCGCCACGATAGGCCCTGGCAACGGGAGCGGGGTAGGAGGCAGCTGGTTGCGGTAAAGTGGACCAATAGACAAAGCGGGGTTGACCGACGCCGTAAATGGTGATTCCAACATCCAAAGTTCAATTGCCAAGCATTTCGCGCCTATGGGACCAGAGACAGGGTGTAATAAGGCTTAAATGCCCCGACCCAGATCAAGATTACCCTTGTCAGCTACCGAACATGTTACACGAACAAGGTAACGCTGACATGTATGTTTGCGTCGCTGATTTCCGGTCGCCTACACGGTTGCCTTATTGTTCTTGTTGTTACTGGCAGAACGGTATGACGTGAAGGCACGCAGTGGTATATGAGTTACGGGAGGAAGGTATGGGTGGAAGCGTTGACTTGCGGCGCTTTCGAAAAGGGGCTAAGTTGTAAGGGGAGCCGATAACCGCCTATATCCCACTCCCAGCAAGGCCTGGGGCGGAACTGCAGTGTTTGCATACCTGGGGTGGCCACATGCCGATTGGTCAGGATGAGGCCACGCTGCTTGTCGACTATGAAGCCCGTTGCGTAAGCCGAGCCGGCAGCCTCAGTATCAACCGCTCGGGTTTGGGTTACCCTGTAAACCCAGGTTACCGCATCCAGTCAGCCACGGCTCCATTCGGATCTCGCCATGTAGCGATGGTTCACTTACTTCAGGACGACACAGCAGGGAACTACACGATCAAGGGCCTTTCTCCAATCCTCGTTGCTTGCCCTGCTTGACGGCTCCGAGATCTCCGTGGCGACCTCCATAGACATCTCGACCGTCGCAAGCACCAGAGTGTGTAAGGTCTAGTAATAAATAAACAATTATCACGTAACAATATAGTATTACTGGTATGTCAAGATAGCCATTCCAAACCGCGTGCAAGGAGACATTCGCTCAATACATGCCGTACTGCCTCGGTTAAGCATGTTGGATTGCGTACCGTGTAAATACCCTCTGTCATATCCTCTCTCAAAACAATTGTCAATCCTTGCCGATATTTGCTTCTACTTTCACATGCAAACCTGGAGCGCTTCCCTCTTTCAGGTTAGGAGAGCGCTCGCTCTGCTTCCCTCTCAGCGCTCCTTGTTGAGTACTATGGCTGAGAGCAAGCGGCCAAAGGCAGCAGCGGAGTCCACAGGACCCATCGCCACGGCAATTACAAGGTGAGGGAAGTCACTAGCGCTGTGTTGCCGTAACGAGTTGACAACAGAGGCACCGGGCATTAAGGGGCAGACGGCACGGCGCTATGTCATCCGGGGTCGTCGGAGCTGTCAATGTACAACGGTCATGCGGCGACTTGACCAAGGGCACAGGGAGGACGTTCCCCTGTCCTCACGTCTCGCAACCCCTGTGGACACCTTCCAATCCTCCTCTACATTCTCACATTCCGCGCGTCCACGTATCGCACCCTTCTTGTCCCTGCAGCAAAGTAACCGACGCACTGAAGCCAACGCACTTGCGATTGCTGAACGATTCCCACAAGCACGCGGGCCACTACGCTAGGGACGGGAGCGCAGCGTCGGAGGCGGGCGAAACCCACTTCAGGTGTGGCTCATGCTGGTTATGCTACCACGCTCTTATCAGCACCGTCGTTTAGAACAAAGTCACTGCTTTGGCACCCCGCACTTGTTGGTAGGAAACTGCCCCTGCTGGACTGTGGTGTACGACATTAGTAGCCTGCTCACTCCCGTTTCCGTTCCCGTGCCCCGCAGGCTAGAGGTCACCTCGGAGGCGTTCGCTGGGCTGCCCCTGATCAAGCGTAGGTGTCGGGGGTGGAGGGAGGTGCTTGTGCCTTGACGCAGGAGGCTAACACAGAGAGTGTCTTGTATGCTACCCTTTCCCCTCTGTGCCTGATTTTGGGGCCCAAGCACTAGCAACCACTCAGCATACCGGTAAGCGGCACCAAACGCGCATGCCACGCCTTACACGCGTATGCCGCGCCTTACACGCGTCCTGATGAATGAGGCCGCGTCCATCCTCCTCATCCTTTTCCCGGGCCTTGCTCGCAGGTCACCAGCTCATATACGGGCTACTGGGAGACGAGTTTAAAGCGGGGTTACATGCGCTGTCCATGACGACAAAGACCCCTGCGGAGGCCCCTACGGAGAAGTGATATGGGTGCGGAGGTAGGGGGCTTCATGAGCAGTAACAGGTGATTCAATGCGTCGACTTGGACTGGGTGCAGTTAGTTGCGAATTTGTGACGCAGCTCTTTCTGAGATTGATCCTGGAGGGGATCCGTATGAAGGTGTGTCGTGGAGGCGACCCAGATGTCTGAAAGGTGCCAGTACGCGTGGGACCAGGCGTGTGGTGGTGGTGGCGGCGGTGAGCTGCTTGTCACAGAGCAAGCACACATACGGGTGCGGTCCATAGGTTCGCTTGGTGCTGCGTGCGATCGTCAGTTTCTGATTCGCTCGTGCTGCAACATGAAGTTAACACACATGCTTTCATTGTTTGGCAACTTCCACGTGCTCGTATTGGGTGGCCAGCAATGCCTAGCTGGGTAATTCCGTGTTCCCTAAACAGACCAGTAATGCAGAAGACACTTGTGCTAACGCTGCGCTTGGTAATCCTATAGCATTCCAGGCCTCTCCGATCCTTGCTCAGTCCTATATCCTTATGCGTTTACCACGTCGACGAAAAGTAAGCTCGTAATGGGATGGCCGTGATTCCCCCGGCTGGGCTGGAACCCCATGCAACCCCTCTGCCGTAATTGCAGCGCACCAACTATTGCAGTAAGTTGGCTGCACAGCCGAGAAGTACAGCGTAAGCACATCACCACAATCAGTGCCGTGCCCACACCGCCGCCATGGCGTTAAAAGGATAGGGCATAAAACACGCGTTTAGGGTCAAGTATACAACATAGCCTGCAGAAATAGAGACCCCGATGTCCCACGCGTAATCCGGTGTGGCTGGTACGAGCCTCTACGGCCCTTACCAACAGACGCCACAGCAAAATGCCCCGATATGCACACATGGCAAACCTTCACGCCCCGCCGCCTGACCCCCGAAAGCGCAATCGTCAAAATGTAGAGACTTAGCGCTGGCAAGTTCATTCTCTTCTCAGACAGTACACAGGTGACAGGCAATCCATACAAGGCGTCCGTCCATGAAGTTCCAGAAGCAGCAGCCCGTGCCAAGCATGCTGAACACTTCCAGCGAATGAGATGTCAATGCGTTAAACAAGCCGCGACGGTCATATCCATAACCGCCTGAAATTGTAACAAGTCTAGCCGAGTAAGCTATCCGCAGTAACCCCAGCGAGCCGCATTCCCGCCGTCCGGATGACAAGCCTAGTCTCTACCAGACACACTGCTTGTGTGCTAATGCAGCGTCAACAGAAACAGCACGGCGCGTCACGAGGGAGCGCCACTACCCAGCCGTGACTCTCAAACGCAAACAACGCTCCGTGCCGCCACACCACCCACTTCCACAGTAAGTCCCACTAGCTACTATCTACAGCTCCCTGCCATCTTCATGTCATGAGTCTAGGGCAGCCGCTTGCACTAACCCACCGATAACACCACAACCCACACTGCTTCAATCCATCAGCGCCTCAGCCCCCCGGCCCAGCGCCATGATGGCTTCCACCTCATCGCTGCGTATCGCGGTGCGCTCCTCAAGCCAGCGCTGGAAGCGGTCCGAGCGCAGCTGCTTCCGGGTGTCAGGCTCCGGCCCCCGCCGCGCGGACTTGCGGCACATGACATCCTCCGTGTCCAGCACGTACGACACCTGCAAGCGAGGAGAGGGCAAACGCGTGGTTTCTCAAGTAGCCCAGTGTAACATAATCACGTTTGTTGCAACAGTTGCAACAGTTTGTTTGATACATTGCAGGTACAGGTGCACAGACTTGGATGTGCTCAGCTGAAAGCTCAGCATAGCAGCACCATGGGACATCACCGGGACGGAAACGGCCTCACCTTGGATGTCGTGCAGCTGATCTTGCACTCCAGGCCGTTGAAGATGGCCACCGAGCGGAGCACCTCGATGAGCTCGGCGTCAGGGCCCTGGCGAGCCCGCTGCGAGAGGTTGCGGCGCAGGTACAGCGGAGGCGGCGACGTAGACGGGGATGGCGTGGGCGCGCTGACATAGCTCCTGCAGTAACAAAGCCGGCACAGCAGAGGATACAGGCGTCAGGCACAGGAGGTGCGAAAAGCTTGAACATGTTGGAAGTAGTAATATCCTTCCTGCAGAATTCCACACACAAACGGAGCCTGGCCTGGGCTTCCAAACTGCCCTTCACAACACCCGCCCACCTGATGTAGTCGGTGATGTAGCCCTCCGCGGCGCTGCCAAGCGCCTCCGGGGCCTTATCCGGCTCCACCAGCGTGATGGTGAGCGTCGAGTTTTGCGTGTTGTATGCGATGCGGAAGCAGGGGTCGTCCGTGAGCACGGCGTGGCAGTTGACGTGGTACAGTGTCGTGTGGATGGGCACGCTTCGGGAGCGCTCGTACCTGCGCAAAGAATGACACACACGAGTTTCAGATGCGCATGCAAAGGTGGGTTCAGTCAGAAAAAGGACACAGGGATTCACGCCTGCGCTCCGGCATGAAAGCCAAGTTGAACTTGCAGTAGCGAGCCCCATCTGCGCAAAGTCCACTTCCGCATCTGCAGGTGACTCACTTGTACAGCTCCCAGAGCTTGGTGGTGGTGTCGTCCTGCAGCATCAACTGCATGTGCTTGACAATTTTCGCCGACAGCTTGTCGAGCGTGAAGAGCTCGTAGGAGCCCGTCCCCAGCAGGCTGCGGCACTGGTCCTCGTACACGCTGCTCTCCAGCTGCCCGCGCATCACGCGCAAGAGCATGGACATGAAGGACGAGTGCAGCTCCTCATACGCCGTGCGGGTCTGTGGACAGACAGACAAACAGACGGGGTAAGCAGCATATCTGTAGAGACGATGAAGCAGTTGAGCACTTGAGCGCCAAAGCTATAGAGATAATGCGGTGGCTCATTGCGGCATGAGAACGCACCTCGGCGGCATCTGGCGTAACCGATCCGCCCAGAGTAGTGTCCGACTGCTGGTGCCGCCCGTTGTTTGCGGCCGCGGCGTTGCACTTGGCTTGCACGCACTTGCGTGCCGTGCAAAGCCGATCGAAGAGGATCCGGTGATACCTGCAAACAGGCGTACAATCATTACGCTTGGCCATCAACTTCTGGTACAATGCTATTAAGGGACCAGAAAACGCGCATCACCGTGCTCACACCAGTCCTGCCGGCCTACAGGGCACGCCCTTCCTCACGCTCCCCGCACCTGTAGAAGATGTAGATGTTTTCGTTGCCAAACAGCAGGTGATGCCCCGGCGGCACATCGCTGGCCGACGGCCCTCCCGTGTACACGTACAGCGGCTTGCAGGCTGCGTACGCCCGGTCCAAGCGCGAGTCTGACTGCGCTCCAGCACCGCCCGAGGCGCCTGCCACAGCTGCACTGTCGTCGCCTTGCCCGCGGCCCGCCTCCGCTGACGTCTCGTCGTCATCGCCCTCCTTGTCGCTAATACCCGCGGTGCCCTCCTTGCCCCCCGCTGCTGCGCCCTCTTCCGGACCCCGCGGCTCAGGTGTCGCGCCTGGCTGCGGTGTCTTGTTCTCTGTGGTGCAACAAGGGGGTAGGGTTCGCGTTAAGCGTCTTCACATGCATAATCCTGGGCAGCAGGAACCCCAGAAAACCAGTTCTGCAGTACCAAGCATTTCCAAGTTAGATCGTATCGCTTTAGGAACCCTAAAGACCGGTAAGCAGCTGAACGGCTGAACCGTCGTGCTCCCAACCAGACCCCAGCCCCAGCACGCGACCCACCCATATCCGTCATCTCCTCATCTCCCCGCGCCTTCGTCCCGTCCTGGTCGCTGCTCTCGCTCTTCGCGTCCGCGTCCATGCCCTCTGCAGCCGCAGATCCGCCTGCACCCTGTGCCCCACTAGCGTTATTATTCGCTGCTGCTGCATTCGCCGCTGCCTGGTTGTTGTGGTTATGGTTGTTGTGGTGGTGATGGTGGTGGCGGTGGCCGCGGCCCCGGTTGCCGCCGCGGCCGCGACCACCGGCGCCGGCGGGCCGCGACCCAGTGGCATCCCCGTCGTCCTCGCTCTCCGCCACGGCAGCCCGCACCGCCTCCAGCTCCGCCTGCCGTACCTCCTGCCCGAAAAAGGGCTCCAGCAGCCCCAGGTAGAGCTCCAGCACCTGCTCGCGGTGGCCGCTGCCCAACGTCTCGTCCACGGCCGTGCGCAGGATGCGGTAGATGTCGCCAAATACCGTCCTGCAGGCACAAGTGATGGACGCGGCCACGGGGATGCTAAGGAAGGGGCATTGGAAAGTCTCATGCACTTTCCTGTGGTTTCCAGAAAACGTTGAAGACATATATTGGTCCCATGGGTCCCAACAGACAAAGTCCTTTTTGTAAGTTGGCTTAGCTTAGCTTCCTGGCTATGCTCACTTTTCCGTGTAGTCGTATGTGAGGTCGCCCGTGGAGGCCTCCAGCACGGCGTCGTAGCGGTACGCTAGGCTGAGGGCGCGCAGCGAGCGCTCGTCCTGGCGGCGCCGGTCGGCCGCCTCCCGCACCTCCGCCACTAGCGTCTTGGGCAGCAGCGCCCTGTTAGCAGGAACGGCGGGAAAGTTAGAACCAGCAGTCGTGTAGCGGATTCGGAGAGAAACCGCGGTTGTTGCGCGGTGGCGTCAAGAAATGACAAGCCCGCTTTGTTGTTGAAGCCCTAAGCGCTGCACCCCATCTTACTTCTTCTCCGCCTGCTTGAAGTAGAAGGAGCGGTGGTCCAGCGACTTGTGGTAGTTGGCCTCGAAGATGCGCTTCCACACGCGGTTCATCTCCACACGGACGCGGCGCCTGCGGAAGGTGCAATAGAACCTCCGTATTGACAATCCAACCACGTTACCATCTATTGCCAAGGATTCGCTCCGCTATACCATTGTAGCCTTTACCGGCATCACTGGTGCATTTGCTAAGGCAACTAAGATTAAGCCATCCCTAAACCCAGCTTAACCCCCACACGGCTCACCACTCGTCGTCCTTCTGCTCCATGCGCGCCACCACGACCGGGATGGCCACCACGGGGTTCTTCCTCAGCAGGTCCACCAGCACCGGGCCCTGGAGGTGGGACGAGCAGCAGGACAACGGGGCAGGACTGAACTTACAGACTTCCATGTCTGCCGTCTGCCGGAACCAACAGTCCCTGCCGGGTTGCGGCTGTAAGCCCCAATAGCCCCAAGGCTACAGCAGGTGCACAAGCTGCATGCCCTGCGGCTGTATCAAGGCATTGCCGACGGCCAAGTCAATAACCACGAGCCCCCCGCCGAGGAACGCACCTGATCAGCGTACAGGCGCTCAATGGAGCGCCAGTGCAGCGGGCCAAGCAGGTTTTCGTCCATCCGGAAGGTGGCGCGCTCTTCCGGTGTCATAGTCGCAATCTTCTGGGCAAGCGGCTTCAGGCGCTGTGGGAGGTAACGGAGGACACATGTTGGAAGGTGGAACACCATGCGGTTGTGAGTAACGACCACCGACGTTGTTTTGGGGGTTCGTACCCAACGTAATCCAGGTGAACCCCCTGAGTTGCAAAATGAGAGGACTTATCGGACCTGTCACCAACCCACCTTGATGCAGGCCACGTTGCGCTCGATGGCCATCTCAAAGTCATACCGGTCGTCCTCACACCTAGAGGACAGAAAAGGAGGGGCGTTCAGTAATGCCCGCGTCATACAGCGTCCAGTACATGCAACACAGCTAAGCGGTATCCCACAACCGGCCCGCCAGCTCCCGGCCTCCCACCTGAACAGGGCCTCCTCGTACTGGTTCTTGCGCATCAGCTTGAAGGAGTAGTCCTCACTGCCGGTGATGACGTTCACCAGGTCCGCGTTCAACACGCTGTCCCCCAGTTGCATGCGGCCCGACATGTTCAGTGTCGGGTAGCCGGGCGGCATCTTCACGTAGGAGGGCGTCACGCGCTGTAGGGAGGAGCGAGCGGGATCGGGGTTAACGGGCACCGGTCAAGTTTATGCGAGAGCGCTAGTGTAGCGGGAGATGTGAGTTTGTGGCTTTCTGCCAACACCCGCGCCTACATCTGCACCCAATGGTTGGTTTGTTTTTTCCCCAAGTGTGATGCTAGGAGCTCACCTCGGTGTCTCCGGACACAATCTCGCTGAGCGGCTTCGTCAGGTACTTTTGCCGCTGCAGCTCCTCCTCACGCTGCCGCTGCCGCGCCAGGTTCTGCGCCGCCAGACCCCGCACCTTGTTCTCGTCGATCTCCATGAGGTCGCATTTGGCAATAAACTCATGGAAGCCCGACTGCGTGGAGGGGTTTGAAGAAAGGCCCCGTGAACAATGCGCCTTTTACGCAAGGGTAAACGTACAGGGTTTCCCAAGGGCACAGGCGGGTTGTACCGAGCATTGCAGACGCTTGACATGCTCCCACAGACAGGACAGGCAGTTGCGCGAGCCGAGTGGATTCGCAAGGCCGGCACACCAACGCCGCCCCACGTTCCTCTCACCATGAGGTCCGGGAAGCGGCCAATGATGTCGTTCAGCAGCTGCATCAGCTCCTGGCGGCTGATGATCTCCTGGGTGTACATGCTGAGGCACTTCAGGAAGTCATTGTATGCGTCCTTGTTGCGCAGCCGCGACTTGGCGCGCTCAAAGTACGCAAGCTCCTTCGCCAGCTGCGGCCGCCCAGAGCCGCGGCCCATGTCTTCGTCATCTGCACGGGCGGGGCGTTGGGTTGGGGAAGGCAATGGGCCGTGGAACAGCTGTGTGAGCCAGCTGCCGCCAGCATTAGCTGCGAAGGAAGCCCGCCTGCTGAAGAGCTGCTTACTTCCGCGGTTGTTAATTAATGGCTTTGGTGTACCCTTTTCGCTAGGGGCGCAGCGAGGGTCAATCCATGCAAAATGGCCTCACAGTTCATCTTGGCAAGTAGGAGTGTCAGCTATCCAGGAATCTCCCAGCGATTGAACGCACAGGGCATCTGCCCGCCTCACCATCGCCATCACGGCGGAAGCCGCCCTCCACCTTCATCTTGCGCCTTCCGTGCATGGTGCGCATATCCGGGCTCACGGCTCCACCAGGGTATGGCTGCGGTGGCACGCGCACGCGACCCGGGACCGGCTGCATTGGCCCCTGCCCCGGCCTCCGCGGCGGCGGGAAGCCCGCCCTCTGCCGGGCAGCCTGCAGGCGTGACGGTAGGGACGGGCGGGTAAATGGCTGACCCCTGCGTCATACGGATTCCAGGAATCAAGTGCAAACACCGCACGCCCATTCCCGTTGTAGTCAGGACCAATACTGCATGTGTCATAATACCGGTGCTGTGCGTGCTTTTAGTTGCCCCTTGAGCGTATGAGTACGGTACAGTGAGCGTGTTTCCGGGCTAGCCCGGGTTTCATTAGTGCTCCCGAACAACACCCACCGCTCCCGACTGCGTGCCATCCGGCAGGAAGTACGTGAACTCCTCCAGGAGGTCCTGGTGGCTGCGGAACAGCACGGCAACCTGCACACGTGGGATGGCAGTTCGAACGCGTAGGGCATGTCAGGGGATAGGAGCGTAAAGCTGCACATGGCATGGTTTGGAAATCGCGACCTACCTCGTCGTAGACCTGGTTAATGGTCTTCTGGCCCTTGCGGTACATGTTAAGGATTTCCAGGAACGCTTTGTACACACGCTCGTCGTTTGCGAAGCGGGTCTGCGAGACGGAGGCAACATATGTTTATACGCCATCGCTCGTGGGTGGATGCGAAATGGTGGAGGACGAGGGGTGCGACCCTCTGGTCCATCTCGGTGTCTGAGGCACATACCCGGGACCTACCTTGATCTTGTTGACATAGTTAATGGCCTGGTCAAACTCAACGGGCTGCTTGTTGCCCTGTGATGGGCGGGTTAAGCCGTGTTACTGCATCGCCTTTGGACATGCGCGCGCGGACATGGATGGAGACGGCCCCCAAAAGCGAAGTTACCGCACCTGATCTTCTTCTTCCTCGTCATCCGAGATACGTTGCAGCTCTATTTCATAGCCCTGGCATATTAGGAGGCAACGTCAGCACATGCTGCAAGAGGGTTCGCGTAAGCATTGAAACTCACCCGCGGCAGGAAAGTGTTGAAGCCAAGAATGAGCTCCCTGTGCCCCTTGAAAAGCTGCTTAACCTTGTGGATAACACCGGTAGTGTCAATCCTGTTGGCAAAGTCGACAGGAACAAGGAGGTAACTTTGCATCACACTCTCCCAACCGTCCCGCACTTAGGTGGGCTAACCACAGAAGCATGAAAAGCATATGCGGCAACAGCTGCTAAAGTACGTCCTAGAATGTATTTGCCGGCTCATCTAGCCGGTTAGGATTGGGCTTATCAGGGTCCCGAACAGGCTGACCCAGGTCGCGCCATCCCCACCTGGCCGCCTTAAACTCCTTCATGATCTCAAGGAAGGTGTCGTAGACATCCTTTTGGTCAGCAAAGCGGTTCTTAACCTCCCGCAGGTAACTCAAAGCGTCGTTGGTGGTCAGCTTAGTGCCGCCCATGGTGGTCGGTTGCGCTGGGGCTTGCGTAGGCCGAGGCGGGCCGCTGCAGGAACCGACCAGCAAGGTCATCCTGGGCATACACAGCTGCCAATACGGACCCGGAGAAGCGTCCGCAAGGCTAAACTACCAAGGAACGCAAGCAGCCGCAGGGGGACGAACCTGCCACGCTTCACTGGCCCTGTCGGCTGAGCATCTTCCCGAAATCGCTTCATGATGACTGCCTAGGCCTCTTGCAACCTCTGCTGGCAAAGCTGCCAAAATTCCGAGTGCGGAAAGGGCTATGCGTAAACGCTAGACAGTTGTCATAAGAGGATGAACATGTTAAGACTTATGTATTAGGCAACACAGCTAAGCGTTGGAACCGTGTGAGTCTATGACAGGTCGAAGCATTGTCCTCGCTCCATGCAGACTGAAACCAGCCGTACGGTTCAGGAGCCAGCGTAAACAAAATGCCGTGTAATGCTTTTTAGATGCGCCCATCGTCACGGTGAAGTTACAGTGCTTCCGCATGGCACAGAAGTCAAGGTATCGCTTCTGCCCAGTGCAAGCGGCATCATGGCTTACACTTGTTCAGGTACCGTTTGGGCTGATTTACAGCTTGAACCTTAAACCTTGACACCTCTAGGCCGCTCCGAGTCGCATGCTGTGCATCTGTCGCTGTGACCCAGGGACACTTGACAATGCCGACTGACCCCTATGCCTGTCGTCAAGACTACATTGAATAGAAACAACGGAGCTGATTTCAGTCCTATCGCAGATTGCATACTGCGTCAGCAAGTGTTATAAGAAGTCGAATCGCCATGAAGTTGATACCAGCAACATAGGATGAACCCACTACCAAACATAATAAGTGTAACAATTCTCCATTAGCTGTGAGGTTCCCTGCAGGTATGGACATGCCTAGCATTGCTGCAGCCTGGATAGCCCGTATTTCAAGAAAGCGACGAAGCTTACACGTCGCCGTTTATTGAGGTCGCTCCAGAAGGTTGTGTTCCTATACTAACATTCGTGATGGGTTAGTTTAGTACATTACGTCAGTGACGCTATCGACGGGCACGCTCTCGGGCCTGAAGTAACTTCCTCGGCCCATCCATATGTATTATGGCAAAGTAAGCCCCATGTCGGCATCTAGGTCAAGGTTAGTCCAATTCAATTGCAATGTGCCTTGCAACAGTAGTTTCGCAGCAAGTCGAGGCAGCCACCCCAGAAGCGGCAAGGAAATGACCTTACATTCCAAGGTATTGCGCGCATGACGCATTTGTCGGGGTCCAGCTGGGAAGCCCCTACCCTCGCCAGCCCGTGTAAGTCTCGAGCTGGAAGCCCCTACCCCCCGCCAACCAGTTTAAATCAGTAGCTCCCAGGTAAGGGTAGCCTGCCAAACACAGCAAAACAGCCGCCAGGTTCTTCATTGCGGAGGCCGCCATCGCTGCAAAAGACCCTAAGCGACAGCGGCACATAACCCCACGGCCAAACCTCCAGTGCCTGGGTTTCCAGTCCTTGTTCAAGCAGCTAAGCACCGTTATGACCAGTACCTAGCGTCAAGTAACGTGCCCTCGGGAGGACAACTTCGTCCTACAACCTAACCTGCTAGCATGCCATGCACAAAGCGCAATGAGCTAACATCCCTGCTGACCCAGCTAATCAACCACGCCCCATTACACTCACCACTTTCCCTAACTTTCCCTACCCCTCCCAAGTAAAGCAACACAGCCACGCCAAAACAAATCCCTTGCCCCGTTCCCTGGCAAATCTTGTGGGAGCCCATCCTTTGTACATCCGACCACAAGGTTGCCTATGCTTTGATACACCCACAGCATTCATCGTACATCGCTACTGGTCACAACGCCCCGAACGCGGCTATCCAATCACGTGGCACCCTGGCATGCACATCACGACTGGACGGCCAATCGCTTGAGGTGTTCCGTGAATGTGGCGAGGCTGACGTCGTCGGTGTTGATGACCTCCGCCGACATGGGCGTCGCGGAGGTGTAGGTGGACGAGGGGTTCAGCTTGACCAGCAGGAAGCGCGCCTGCATGCAGGACGTGTGGAGCGCACAGGGACTATCAGTGCTATACTTGTCTCAACAAGAATAGTAAGGTGTCCCAATATCGTAAGATCCCAGGCGTGATTGCAAAACCAGAGCACATGCACATCAGGCGCGATGCAATGCCCATTTTAAATGGGTTTATGACCCTTCCGTGACAACCAACATAGGCTGGTTCGGCCGCACCTGGCTGCCGTTGTGGTCGCAGTCCACGATCTTGGGCACCGGGAAGCGCCGCCGCACGATGTCCTTGGCCTCGGCCTGGGGCGCCGCCAGCACCTGCGGGAGTCGCACGGCGCGAGTCAGGATTGCAATCAGTCCCATGGTGCGCATGTCCATGCGGCCTTGCAGTGAATCCCCGAAAGGCCACATGTGTAACGTGACGCGTTACGTATGCCATTCTCTATTAATTAATGTAATCGGTTAGGGCGGTTACCCGCTGAGAATCGTACATGCCGTACAGCCCGCTACTGGGCGCTCTGTTCTGTTCTGTGCGTGTGTCCCGTGAAGGCGGACATAAGGGAGTCAGTGGCCCTTTCACACCTTACTTATTGACTCTACACGATCACGTATCGTTGCAACATGCTAACGCTGCAAATGCCAAACCGTTGCAGCGAGCTGTGAAAGAAGGCGGCACCATATGTGAGCGGCTGCAAGTGGTTCGGAACATAATCCGCTGCAAGGAGCAAGCTCCAGCAGCAAACCAGGCATGTCGCCCCACCTGCGCGAACGCCGCGTGCTCGGGCTGCAAGTGGTACTCCGCCTTGCGCCACTGCGCAATGGTGGTGCCGTGGAAGACGACGACGTAGAAGTACGCGTCCAGCAGCAGAACCCGCTCCGGCAGGATGGACGACACGTCCAGCAGCACGGGCTCGGGCGGCCCGTTGAAGTGGTAGGCCGTGAGCTGCGGCTGGATCATGACCTGCAATAGCGCAATAGAAGAGACCGCAACAGAAAAAAAATGTGCAGGTAGCACATCCCTGCAAATCCTGCAATTACTGATATGGCTCGGCCTGAAAGAGAACAAGCTTTGGCCCGTTGCTGCCACAATGACCAATGGCGGTCCCCTCTCCCCGACGAGCCTTCGCGAGCCAGTCACGACCGCAGCCGGTAGCCCCCCCCACACACATGCCACCCACCATCGCGTCCGGCACCGCCACTCGGAAAAGCGCCATGCGGTAGTACGCCGTCTCGTCCGGGCTGTTGCCAAACACCTGCACGAAGGGGCTGCGCCGCAGGTGGAACATGAACTGCGGGTAGAAGCTGAGCTCGGGCCGCAGGTTGAAGGACTGCGGGTCGTCCTTGCGATAGTCCCCGAATCGCTGCGCCAGCCGGATGAGCGCGCGGTCCAGCCAGCGGGTGGCGTCAAAGTCCTCCTCCGTCTCCATCTTGTGGGTGGCCAGACGGCCCATAAGCACCGCGGCAGCCTCCTGGTCGAAACCTGGGTGGCGTTTGGTACCGGCAGCAGGTGTGAGTACAAGATGTGTGATGGGTGCCGCGAGGCCAGTTACGAGCCTACGACTGCTTGTTAGGTATGCTCTCGTGTGCGGGTCCCCTGACCCGCATACCGGTGGTAACCCAATGACGCCACCGAAAAGACTAGCCAGCTCACCGACTGGCCGCTGGGAGAGACTGTCCTTACGGCCCCATAACACCCACCTGTGATGATCTCGCCGACCTGGCTGCCGTCCATCCACCGGCGAGTCACAGTTGTCACGCGGCAGCGCAGCTCTCCCGTCCAGTGCAGGTAGCGCGTGATGAACTGCAGGAAGAACTGTGAGTTCGCCTGCCCGTCAGCTGCTTCCCGGCTGTGGGCGGGTCACACAGGGCGCACGCGGGAGGTCCAAGAGCGCTTAGAACCCAGCAACCACGCCACGGTAAGGTTCACCCCTGATGTCCACTGTGCTTACTAAGATGCCGCTTCCCGCACCAGTTGCCCCAACGTGCTTCGAACCATCCATGCATTCCTTGTTTGAATCCGCCATTACCGTATACGGGTTACCCTGCAAACCAGAAACCCACAAAAATATTCGAGTCCGCTTACTTGGCGGTCGCCGTGATCTCATACAGCACCGCCAGACTGGTCTCCGAGTCCAGGCTGCAGAGCTTCCAGGTGGTGGTGCCGCCCAGGCCCACCTCCACATCGGCGATGTGGGGGCTCTTCTTCTCCACGCGCGCCGCGGGACCCAGCAGCCCCGCAACCTTGATGTCTCGGGAGGGGATGACCTCGAAGGTGGCGTTAGAGGAGAGCCCCAGGAAGCCGTCCTCGCCGTCGCGCGAAAACAGGCGCTTGAGGGAGTCCCGGAAGACGATGTTGTGGAAGGTGTCGGTTTGCACCGTCAGGCCGCCCGTCGTCATCACCACGTCCTTCATCTCAGCCACGCCCACCTGAGGCGAGAACACGAGACATCATCAAACGATGCAGCTTAGCAGGTCTTTCCCGTGCACATGAACGAACAAGATGAACGGACATCTGTGCAACAACGCGTTCACGGCAACGCCCAACTCAGGTGCTCCCTGCAACACAGTACCAGTGCAACGAACACGGCCCTGGGACACCTTCGTGAGACGCCCCAAACGTCCGCACTGGGACACCTTCGTGGGACGCCCCAAACGGTCGAAGTTAACAGCGCACCTGGTCCAGCGCGCATGCAAAGATGTCCAGCGCGTGCCCATGCGCCACCAGCTCCGCAGCGATGCCGTCGTAGAACTTCTTGGCCTTGCGGTAGTGCGGGGCACCGTCCTTCGCCAGGTCCTGCGAGGAGCAGCAGCATGACGCGTGGTGGCTGCTTTATAGGGGAAACCACCACAGGGGTGCAGTGCGGTCACACCCGAGGAAGTTACACCTCGCATGGTAAGAGGTGAATAACCACGCTTCCTGGCAAGCTAACCCTTTTATCCTCTACCAAATGCATCGCAATGCCGCGCCGCAGCAGGGCGCCGGCAGCGAAAGAGACAGTGCTGTGCATGTAACCCTCCAAAAGGCGCGTCAAGGTACCTTGTGCGAGCGAATCTCCTCAGTGAGCTCCCGGTTGACCACCTTGCCGCTGCCCTCCGTGCACGGCCCACCCACGAACAGCAGCACCCGCGCCGCGCAGCTGCCGATGGGCACCGAGGCGCCCAGCAGCGCCGTCGCCACCTAGGGGAGATGGGCGGGGGTAGGTGTGGGGCGCAAAGCTCTATAGGGCCATGGAACGTTGAACCCGGTTTAGCCATAACAGCTTGACGCAGACACCAATGTTTGAGCCACATCACCATCTTGGGGTTGCTTGGTCCAACATGAAGCGTGGGGACTTGACTCATGCAGAGCAGTGCAAAACCTCTTCACGTGGCAGGCCACTAGGCATTAGGAACCCAAAACCTTGGCGCCGTGGTGCATTCATGCCAGGACCCAACGTGGAATGTTAAGCGCCATCACCACAGGCCACCACAAACGCCCAGGCTAACATCAGGGCAGAATCACGTTGTCACGCGCTGGCATGGTCCCCACTGCGCCTTTCCGCTCGTCCCTCTTGGCAAACCCACCTGCATGGCCGTGCCCGTGCAGCGCGCTGGCCGGTGCGTCGCGATGACCGGGTACGAGTCCTTCTGCAGCTCCTCCAGCGCCGTCGTCAGCGTGAACTCGCACTCGCTCAGCGGCATCAGGAAGCGCCGCTGCGGCGCACCAGGCTGCGGCCCCGCCTGCCCCGGCGCCCCCGCCTGCCCTGGCCGCCCCGCCGCTCCGCCCCGCACGCCCAGCTGCTCCACGATCTGCTGGCTGGTGTACTCCTTGGAGCCGCGGAACACGTAGCACTTGGAGCACTCCGTGAACCCCAGCTCGTACACATGCACGTGGGTTCCAAAGGTCACCAGGCCCACGTAGGCGTACTCGGGCAGCGTCTGGATGGCCTGCATGATGGCGGCCTTGCAGGCGCCCAGCTCGTCCTCTGACACGCAGGTGTCGATGAGGAAGATGTAGGCGGGCGGGTGCGGCGCGACGGACTTGGGCAGCGTGTACTCGATGGTGCAGTAGTTGGGGTAGAGCTCGGCGGGCATGCTGGTGTCCGAGATGCCCTGGTAGTGCGCTGGGAAGTGGTTGCGCGAGTGGCAGAACGGGCAGATCCAGACCTTGGAGTAGAAGTCCACCCGTGCGTAGGGGTTCAGGATGGCTGAGCACTGCTTGCAAGGGATCGGCTCGTAGGGAAGCACCTGTTCGAAGGGGAAGCGGGAGGGTTGGGTGATGGAAGCCACCGGCCACAGTCCACTGCAGCCATACAATGGCTGACATCATATGCCAGGCCACCCTACCCTTGGGGTAGCAACCTACTTTGGGGGGATCTGTTGTGTGATCGCGAGCAGGAATCCTACCCCGGGGACGAAGACCCATTCATCTGTCAAAACCCCGAAGCAAGGCAGCTGAATCCGTCTGCCTACATGGCCTTACCGGCATGGATGGCAAGCGCTTGTTAGGGGTGTACACGGATGCGAACGGGATGACGCATTTCGTTGCCTCCAGTTTGCTGTTAGGCCAGATGTTCCAAGTTAGCCGCACGCCATCTATATCCTCCAGCGCCACAAAGTCCATTGTAGCTTTGGTTGCCAAGATCCTCTTGAAGTCCTGGCTCCTTAAGACTGCTTTTCAGACAACAACCGGCAGCTGTTCGTCTAGCGATCACGCGGTAAAGGCCAACAGCGCACCCCAAATGCAATCTATAGCACGGCTTCTTCTACAACGTCCAAAGATACGTTTGAAGTGCTCCTTGCCTAGCGACACAGCTTATCCGTCGCGCTCAGGCAAGCTGCTGTTGCTAGCACGTAGCAGTTGACGGGATAGTAAGATAGCACCGCTTTTGACCTAGGACCGCGAACCGTTATACCGTATGTGTTAACACAGTGCTTCCACATGAGTGATGAACAGAGCTCGCGGTCGTGCCGTACAAGCGTGCCTTCGTGTCTTCGTGGTATCGTCCTTCCTGCACACCACCTAAACGGAGTACCTATGGTGAAAAGTATGCTTTGAGCTATTTGCTCTTGGAACCAACGGTCGTCCTGTCAGCGTCATTCCACTCCTAGGCACAGGGCTGAATAGTTACATCGAACTCATCATGTTAGAGCCTCGGCAATTGTGCCTAATTATGATATTGTAGCTTGCGATAGGCGGCAGCCTGATTGTATTTGCTCGACGGCAAAGTTGGAAATGCCAAGCCGCACATTCCGGTTCACGTCATATAGAGAAAACAGCTGAGCATGTTTATGGATATGAGCCACAGCCACGATGGTTTTGCCCTGGGCTTTGTCGAGAGGTGCGTAAACACTGGCATGACGAGGGGACGTTGCCCCAACGCTTCAATCGAGGAGGTTACAGCTGTATGGGCTAATGGGTTATCATGAAAAGTTAATCCTTAGGTCACTGGGATGGCCGCCTCGTTGAAAGGGGCATGGAATGGCTGCAGGTCCGCGCACCTCGAGGAGTACACACGGATGCGACCAGCATCTGCCGGCAGTCGGCCGCGCAGTTTACTTAACAAAGTTGCGAACGCAGCGGCAGCCGCGCAGGCAGACGACGACCCGGAGCCCGCGGACGCAGAGCCCTGGGTCTTAGAAGGCTGGGGTGACGGGCCTAGCGTGGTGAGTAGAGGAAACCCCTCTTCACTCCTACCGCAGGCCATTAAACGTAGCGGGTTCCCGGTCTGTTGGCTGAGGGTTGACGTCTTTCCTCCAAGGGTGTTTGCTGTGTGTTTCAGAACCCGCGGAGACAACTGCTCAGCGCTTGCTTTAGCATGTGACGACAACGAGAGCCCACTAGTTCACCCATACGCCCTTGGTACCTGCAGAGTGAGGCAGCCCAGCAAGCGGCGCTCAGGTTGGCTCCGTACGCAAAGAACGTGCCCACCACGCTGGTGGGTTTAGGAGCAGGGGGGCGGCGCGTCCTCAGCGCTGGGCCCCAGGGCCGGAGCAGCCCGCTTAAGGTGTCGGAGGCGAGGCGCAAGCCAGGGCCTGGGCCTCCTCATGCACAGGTGAGTAGTGCTGAAGCAAGCTGCATGCCTTGCCTTGGTTGCTGACCGTACGCGCACGCGCATCCCCGCCTGGCTGCAGGGCGACCGCCGCGCATCGGGTCCAGCTGGGCTCGCCACGGCGACCGTACGCCGTGCTCCGCCCCTGCGGGACCTAGACGTTGGCGACGAATCAGATGTGGAGCCAGACACCGCAGCGGCTGCGGGCGCAGGGAGCACGTCAGGGTACGCCCACACACTCGTGCATGGGCAGCCCCCTCGCGGCGGCCCGGGGCAGCGCGGACCTCCCCTGGCGCCAACAGCTGCCACCCGGCAGTACCACGTGGCCCTGGCGCAGCAGGCCATGCAGCACCCGGGGGGCATGGCGGCGCGGATAGGCCGCAGGGACATCGCCTCCCCCGCTGCTCCCGCGGCTGCTCCGCAGCCGCTATGGGGCACCACAGCTAATGAAGCACCGTCAAACTCGCCGCGCTACCGGAGCTTGTCGGCCGAGGCCTACCATAACAGCTCCGGAGGGGCCGGCACCGGCGCCGCCGCTGCCGCCGCCAGCAGCAGCAGACCAGGTGCACCTCCCGCACTGCGTGGAGGCGCAGCAGCCCCCTCTGGTGCAGGCGCACCACCCCCGCACCCTCAACAGCACACGCATAGCCACCCACCACTGCCCCCGCAGCCCCCGCACGGGCATTTAGACCCACTCAGCCCAACTGCCAGCCGCAATCGCGGTGCCCCAGGGCCCAGCGACCCTGGAGTACCTGCGGACGGCCGCAACCGCAGCAGCGAGTGCCAACCGCCGCTTCGCTCCTCATCCTTTACTTCCTACGCCCAGGCAGCCCTAACAACAGGCTTAGACAACATTGACATCATATCGGCCCACCTCGCGACCTCTGTCAATGCCTTCACCACCGCAACACCGGCACAGCTTCAACAAGCCCAGGCTGCATCCCAGCGGTCATCCTCACCAAATTCATCCACGGCTGGTGCGCAGGTGCATCCACCACCGCCGCCCCTGCCAGGGCTCTTCCCAAGCGGCCGCAAGATAGGCTCCTTCCGAGCGGATACCGGGCTTTGCGGCTGGGACCCCGAGGGGCCATCCATGCAGGTGCAGCAAATACAGCTGACCCCAGCGCAGGCCGCTTCCAACGTGTCGTTATGGATAGGGCCCATGGCGCCGGGGACGGGCACATCTGGACTCCAGGTGGGCACGGTATCGTCCGGCCGGGGCACCTCCATGCCTGGGAACAACCAACCGCCGCACCGGCGGGACCAACTGCCTAGCAACAGTCGCCTCTACCGGGGCGCCGGGAGCTTAGGGCTGGCGTCGGCTGGCATCTTAGATTTATCGCTCGTGCCTGACCGGCCCTCCGAGCGTCCTGTGCAGCACGGAGGGCAGGGCTCAGCAATGTCGAGCCGCTCTGCGGTTCGGCCGCAGGCGCCCGGAGTGTTGCTGCACATGCAGGGGGCGGTGCACGCCGGGCCACCAGACATGCTGGGGCTGGCTGGCGCGCCGGGCTTCCCATTGCCTCAACAAGACGCTCTAACGGAGTTTTGCGCGAGCCGGGCAGAGATGGGGAGTGCTGGGGGTTTGAACATATGTAGTGGCAGTGGCGGAGGGGGTGCTGGGCTGGAGGCGCGCGGTGCCACGCCCGGTGGCATGGTGCCGGGGTCGGCCGTGTCCGTACCAATGCGGGTGACGTCCCTCACTAAAGCAACCGCTGTAGGGCGGGTTAGCTAGCATAGAAACCCTTATCCCCGTCCCTTGTTACTTCGCCTGTCTGGACGATGCGTGTTGTTTACGTATGGTTACTGTCGTCATGTGGGTTTTGACTTTTGCAGCTCATTCAAGTAGCTCTGGGACAAGGAGCGCTGCGCTGGAAACATGGAACGTGCGGCATTTAGTGTACATAGGAGGGCAGCATGGCGTGGTTTTTCATTCTAGATAGCTCACCGGTGGAATGGGTGATGACGAGAACTGCTGGCAAGGCGCGTCGCTAAATATAGGCGCCTTGTTATGAGGCTTAGCTCTCCTGTCTAGCTAGCTCTTTGCTACCATGTGTCATATAGTAGTTCAGTATGGTATGGTGAAGGTTTGCCGAGTGCTAGATTCCCGGCGATTATTCATTACTTGGCCCTTAAACGGCGGAGCGGATGCAGGGGAGAATATGGGCTGTGCCTAAATTTTCAGGGGTTGGAGGGGTGTTGGAATGGCGGAGAAGCAAAAGCACTTACAATATGCAACAGGAGGTTGGTGCCGAAAGCGACGGCTGATACTCCACTTGTCCTAGGTAAGGGTTCATTGCGCAGCTTAGGCGCACCATAGCGAATCAAAAGGTGGTATGGGTACTTGCTCGTACAACAGCCCTTTTGCTTGTACAGCACGGGACTGACGGGCAGTACGGCGTACCAGATATCATAATGGGCAGTCCACCCAGGGTCCACCTGCTCTCAGCATTGTTCTAGTCTAGTGAGGTGTAAATTTGCCCCCATTGGCGTCAGAACTAAATACAGTAAGGTCCCGTTGTCCTAAACCTGCTTCTCCCTAAGCCATGCATTCCCCATGCCAGCACTAATTCACTATGCACTAAACAGCACACCGCCGCGCACACAGCAGTGCCTGTTTAAGACCTTCCATCGCCCAGCTGAGCAACCGAGGCTGATCGGGCCGCAAGCCGGTTCTCGTCTCGCAGGTATTGCTGCACAGCTGGCGGCAGGAGGGGCGAGGGCTCCCGCACCGGCTGCCCCAGCTGCTGTTGCACCCACGAGCGGACTGAGAAGGGGTTCGGCCGAGGCACGGGTGGGCTGGCTGGCCGCAGCTCGCCCACTCGGTCCACCAGCCTGCGGGGCGGGGAGGTTGGGTGGCATAACGCAGTCGTTCGGTCGTTACTCGTTAGGGCAAAAGGATGTCGGCGCCAATGGATAGCAGCTATGATACAGGTAGGAGACACAGGGCTGCAGGGAAGCGTTGGTGGGCATCTGAGCGCACCAGTGCGCGAGCTGGTGCATGACAGCTTCACAGTGGTTTGTAACGGTGGTGCTCAGTACAACCCGGGTGGAAAGTAGGTGCTGTCAACGTGCTGCTGGTCATGCCCCCATGTGAAAAGCAGCAGCGTAGCCCTGCCATTTCCTTCCCCTACGCTTAATGCAAGATCGCCCTAGGGGCGAGCAGACCGAACCATACAAACACGCCTTTCCCCATGCGCCTCCGCACCCAAAGCACGTCCTTCCCACCCCTGCAGCTGTCGTGCACTGCCCCTTCCAAGCCGCAATTCCGCTGTTCGGTGTTATCCCGCGCTACGCCAGGACTCAGGACTACCACGTCACTGCTGTTCTCATTCCCAGAACAGCCATGCTCATGGCAGACACCACCAGCCACCCCACCGCAGCGCCACTTACTCGACAAACGCCACGGGCGCCGCATCCCGCTCGCGCCACCCCGCCCGCACCAGCCGCGTGAAGCCCCCCGACCGCTCCCGGTAGCGCAGCGCCATCTGGGTGAACAGCTTGTGCAGCTCCCGGTCCGTCCGTACAATGCCGCTCGCCTCCACCCAGGCGTCCCGTGTGCCCTGCGTAGGCATGAGGGCAAGGCACGGCATACGTGTGTGATGCGTCGGTGCAGCCGGGTAGAAGGGTTAGAAGCTATGGACACATCTCCGAGGGGACAGCGACAGCCCAGTGCAGATGACTGGGAACTTTGGCCGTAGGAGCTTTCAGGATGGGGTTACCAAGGGAAGAGGCGTGAGGATTTCCCAGGACTAGCCGCGCATGATTGGACGTCATGCCGCAACAAGCAGGCTAGGGGTTCCTGCCGCAACCGTGACGCGTGGTTGCTGGTCTCCGCCACGCCGTGTTACTGAATCATGCTGCCTGCCCCAGTGCATGCAACCCAGCTGGAGTTCGGGAGTGGATGTCCGCTGTAGGAAGGGCGCCCTCCAGGGTATGGAAGCGTAGGCCCCTAATGGGGGCCGGGTTGTACGCGAAGGTGCACCCACACCGCACAGCCTATAACCATATCATATCTAGCCCCAGCTAATAGGCGGACCCCGCAGCAGTGGACTATGCCACACCTGTTTCCCGAGCGTGATGACCTTGTCCGCATACCGCTGCAGCGTTTTCGCCTTTGCCAGTGTCGTGCGGATCCTCTCCTTTTCTAGCAGCTGTGTGACCATTGTCCTGTGGGCAGACATCATAAGCATATAGCCTCCTCAAACTTCCGGCGCCGATTGAGCCCGAACTAGCTGTAAAGTCCATAACTTACTTCATCATGCTCACACGATGTTCCCATTTTCGATTTAATCGGTTCCAGTTGCCTAATCTCACACGAACTCGCGCCATATTGAAGTTGTGTGCGGAAGAAAACGAGTCGAGCCGGAGGGCGATTAAATGGCAAGATTTGTCAGTGACGTTTCTTCTGCTCAAATGGCAAGGAAATGGCGTAGGGGCCACTGGACGCAAGACTGCAGTAGGGACGATGTCGTACGCGGGGTCGTTGCCCTGGTTCATCCACGGCGTGGCCCAAGAAGGTCGATGCGAACGTAAAGCCCTTAGCGCACACGCCGGTGAAGTGGGTCTCCTCGGCGATTATATATACTACGCTGCAGCAGAGACTTCACTGAACACAAAAGATGCTTGTTGGCCAGCGCTCGTCTCTGCGCCTTGGGCGCGGAAATCGTAGGCTTGATAGCGCGCCACTTTTGCACCGGGCATCTCCTTCGGTGCTCGGCGTCCAGCATGTCGCGCCGGCGCAGTCGTGTGCAAGCCCTCTTAAGCAGGATAGGCGCCGCGCAGTAGTTGTTCAAGCCTCAGCTACCAAAGAAAAGGGTGAATTACAACTCTTCGTCAGGATGTAAGTCGGGCTATCTCTCATTCAACCATAAATTTTGCCGCAGTTGAGGAGCTGACGGTGCAACCTGTGAAGAAGATCGAGGGCACTGTCAAGCTGCCCGGATCGAAGTCCCTCTCCAACCGCATTCTGCTGCTAGCAGCGCTTGCTGAGGGCACGACCCTCGTCAAAAACCTTCTGGTGCGTAGGCCTTCGTCCTCGTCGGCATCCCTTGGGCTGCAGCTGCCTCGCTGCTCTTACCATGGCACACCGGTGTAGCCCGTACACGGGGCCGGCGCCTTGCTTCATGTTTAGAGGCACCATGCATTCGTCCGGGGTGTGCAGGAGCCATCACCAGTACCGTCTGCTGCCACCCTCCCTGCCAGGCACGATTTCCCTTCCCTGCCCCCCGTCCCCCTCACCACAACAAGCCCACTCAACCAAACCTCTTCCAGCATCCCAACCACCTCCAACCAACTTTAACCGTTCCTAACCAACCCCAACCACTCCTAACCGCTCCTAACCCAACCACTCCCTCCCTCTCCCCGCAGGACAGCGATGACATCCGCTACATGGTGGGTGCCCTGAAGGCCCTCAACGTGAAGCTGGAGGAGCGGTGGGAGGTGGGCGAGATGGTGGTGCACGGCTGCGGTGGCCGCTTCGACTCCCCCGGCGCGGAACTCTTCCTGGGCAATGCGGGCACCGCCATGCGCCCGCTGACGGCGGCGGTGGTGGCGGCGGGGCGGGGCAAGTGAGGCGGGGGGGGGGAAAGAAAACTGACTGAGGGATAAGGCGTGGGGGGGGGGTGGCGGGAGCGGCTGGGGGGCTGAGGGGCGGGGGTTGCGATGGCGGGAGACACGGGCAGTGGAAGGGAGGGAGCTAGGGCCTAGTGGCCCATGCCGGCGGGGGCTGTGTTAGCAGCGCTGTGACAGCCTGCTGGGGGTGCCCACCCGCCACCTGTTGTCGCCCCGCACGCTGCCACAAAGGTGCATTCCTAGGTAGCTGTAGGGGATGCGATATATGCACACCCAGGCTAGCGGACCGACCTGCCCCTAGCAAGCTCAACCTCAGAACTGGGTAAAGCCCTTCCTGCACGCCTCCCCTGCCCTCCCCTCCCTCCCCCCTCCCCCCCAGGTTCGTGCTGGACGGAGTTGCCCGCATGCGCGAGCGGCCCATCCAGGACCTGGTGGACGGGCTGGTGCAGCTGGGGGTGGATGCGAGGTGCAGCATGGGCACCGGCTGCCCGCCCGTGGAGGTCAACTCGCAGGGGCTGCCCACCGGCAAGGTGGGGGCGAGCAGCAGGGGAGGGGTTGGGGTTGGGGGGCCGGAGGGTGTTGGGTTGGCGGAGGGTGCTGCGCGGGGCGCGGGGAAGGGTGAGGGAAAGGCCGGCTGGGCAGAGCATTACCCCGTCCTCTTGCGGTATTGGTATATCATCCTCCTTCCTTCCCTCCCCCCCAGGTCTACCTTTCCGGCAAGGTGTCCAGCCAGTACCTCACCGCGCTGCTGATGGCCGCCCCGCTGGCGGTGCCGGGCGGCCCGGGGGGTGAGGCGCTGGAGGTGATCATCAAGGACGAGCTGGTCAGCCAGCCGTACGTGGACATGACGGTGAAGCTGATGGAGCGGTTCGGGGTGACGGTGGAGCGGCTGGACGGGCTGCAGCACCTGAGGGTGGGAGGAGGGGGGGGAAATAAGGAAGGGGGGGCGGGGAGGGGGTAAGGAGGAGGGGTAGGGAGGAGGAAAGTAGAGGTGCGACATGGATCCGCAGCGCCTGTGTGGGTATCTGCCTGCACGCCATGGCGAGTCTGCATCCGTTATAGAGCCTCCCCTGATCATCCCTCCCTCCCTCTCTCCCTCCCTCTCTCCCTCCCCCCCTGCTGCTGCTGCACCCCTCCAGATCCCCGCCGGCCAGCGCTACGTGTCCCCGGGTGAGGCCTACGTGGAGGGCGACGCCTCCTCCGCCTCCTACTTCCTGGCGGGGGCCACCATCACGGGAGGCACCGTCACGGTGGAGGGGTGCGGCTCGCACAGCCTGCAGGGGGACGTGCGGTTCGCGGAGGTGGGGGGGTGGGGAAGTGAGGGGGGTTGAGGGGGGAGGGGAGGAGGAAGAAGGGAGTGAAGGGGGTGGGTTGTAGGGCGGGAGGATAAGGGCGGTACCGTTGCGATGGTGGACCCCATCCATCCAGCCTAATGCGGAATACGTGTCCCTCTCCCCGCCTCACCCCCCAGGTGATGGGTCTGCTGGGCGCCAAGGTGGAGTGGGCGCCCTACTCCATCACCATCACCGGGCCCGCCGCGCTGGGGCAGCCGCTGACGGGTATCGACCACGACTGCAACGACATCCCGGATGCCGCCATGACGCTGGCGGTGGCGGCGCTGTTCGCGGACAGGTGCGGGGGCCGGGTGCGGGGAACGGGGACGGGGGGCGGGGACGGGGGGTAAAGAGGAAGAGCTATCGGTACATGGCTCCGTTGCCAAGGAGACCGCAAGTGAGGGCAAGGCAATAGGGAGAGGAGGCAGGGTGTTAAACAAAAAGTGACGGTTAGAGGCAGCAGCAACTCACCATGTGGCAAGAGGCTCCACCAGTGGTTGCATCATGCATCATGCCAGGATGAGGGGGCCCCCCACGCTCCTTCCCACCATTCCCTCCCCTTCCCTCCCCCTTTCCCTTGTTTTTATCCCTCCTTCCCTCACCCTCCCTCATCCCCCCTCCGTTGCTGCACTTACCAATTATTTCCCCCCTCCCCCCGCAGGCCCACCGCCATCCGCAACGTCTACAACTGGCGCGTCAAGGAGACGGAGCGCATGGTGGCCATCGTCACCGAGCTGCGCAAGCTGGGGGCAACCGTGGAGGAGGGGCGGGACTACTGCATCGTCACGCCGCCCCCCGGGGGAGTGGCGGGGGTAAAACCCAACGTGGCGATCGACACGTACGACGACCACCGCATGGCCATGGCGTTCTCGTTGGTGGCGGCGGCGGGGGTGCCGGTGGTGATTCGCGACCCGGGTTGCACGCGCAAGACCTTCCCCACCTACTTCAAGGTGTTTGAGTCGGTGGCCAAGCGCTGAAGAAGGGGGGTGTTGTGGGGTAGTGGAGGGGTAGTGAAGGGGTGATGTGTGAATGGCGCTGAAGAGCTGGGGGGGTGCATGGGGTAAGCACAACGAGAAGGAGGAGGAGGAGAAGGGGGGTTATGATGGTTTTAAAAGGGATGGCGGGGGAGGGTTTGGGGTGAGGAGTGTAGCAGATGAATAGGAGCTAGGGGCGCTGGGATAGGGAAATGAAGATGAAAGGGGCCCTAGGGTTGCATGCGCTGGCTGGTTGTTGGGGCAGAAGGTCGGATGCGAGAGACACATGAGCGTGCGAGAGAAGGTGGTCTGGTCTTATCCTCAAAGCTAACCTTGGATTTTTCTTGATCTCTTCAGATCGCACGTCAAGGGGCTCTTATCCGTTAACAGGCGGTGACGTCCTCCGATGTGTTCGGGCCTTGGTTTCCAAGCGTGTGGGACGTGAGCGGGATGACCCGGGATACCAGGTGGCATGGCTCCGTTATCGTCAGCCTATGCCACATGACTCGTGTATGTAGTTAGGTTACTAGGGAGGCTCGCCATTGCTCTTACCGCGTTAGTGTAAGACACAGCTTTATTACGGTTGAGCTTTCTTCGGATGCTTTAGCGTGCGGCAAGCGCGCGCAAACATGTAGTGGCAATGTGTGCGACCGGCCGTTCCAGTGTGGCACTGGTGACGTGTGCGTGGTGTGTTTTTGGAGTACTCAGGTTGCTATGAAAACCATGTCAGGGGTTGAGGCCGTCCTGTAAGCTTCATTAAATGACCTGTATACTGCCCAATACACAAGCGGGGGGCCTAGCGCTACAATGCGCCAACCCCGTACATTAACCCCGTGTGGTAACATTAGCATTTTGGCAGAAAACCTTGGGAACCATGCAAGGCATGGCATTAATCTTCGACAACTCCGGTATAAGTAGCCTTATAAACGAACGAAATCTTGGTATGAAACTGTAAAATCAACATGTGGAAGATTCAGACTACCTGCCGTACAACCTTCGACGCACTTTGACGCCCTTGACATACATTACCATATCGCCCACACCATCAAATAAATCCGGTTACTGAGAATACACTGCCTAGGTCTCCAGCTGCGTTGCCATGCGCCATACGCTATCCTTCCATCAATCCAACTCTCCGCCGCCGCAACCTTTCTGATGTCCATGCCGCGCACTGAACTCCCACTCAACCATTGAATGCTTTTGCAACACGTCCGACAACCCCACCAAAGTCCCCGCATGCTGTCAGCTGACAGGCCGCCACTGACCCACGGGTCGCATCAGTCGCGATACCCCCATGCGGCCCGCCCAACTCATCAACTCGCAAGTGGCCCTGTCCCTAACCGCCAAACACGCCATCCTCTGCTGTACGCTTCCCCCGCGGAGCCTGCTGCCGTACACCCGCACATCCCCACAAATGCTGAGCCCCGGCTGCACGCTACATGTGGGAAGACCGCGCCCCCGCGTGTGTGTCCCCTACTTGCCAGCACAAGGGGGTGCAGCGGCCACCTCAGAAAGCCACCCAAGCCCCCCTGGCGCCGGCCCATGTCCCCTTAAGACAGCGCTCGCATGCGGTTCCGACTCGCGGCCGGTTTTCTATAAACGCACGGCTTGCTCGGCCCTCACACCGCCGCCCCTACCTCCGCCGGGTAGCAGGCATTGAAGAGCTGCTCCCACTTGTCGCTGTCCTTGCCGGGTCCCTCGCCCTCGGTGCTGCACAGGCTGAAGAAGCGGTTGGTGGTGGAGGGAAGCAGCAGGCTCTGAACCACGGCCTCTGAGGGAGGGAGACGGACAGAGGTGGGGAGGGGGGTAAGTACAGTAGAAGTGACGCACTGGAATCCCAATCCCATAGCCCGACTCTAGGGGAGGAGGTTGGTACTGGACAACAAATCCGCTGTGATTGCGAGCGGCAGATCAACTTGCCAAGCCCACCGAACCCCATTTAAGTGAAGCCGCGTCCTACCCTTGTCGTCTAGTTTGCCATTCTCATACAACACATTGGGTGTTCTTCTTTCTCCCCCAGCACTGGCACCTACTCAACCCACCTGCCACAGCGATGCGCGACGCCTCCCCCCGCTGGTCGTCCCGTGCCGACAGCTGCACCTGCTGCCGGCTGCCCGAGGTGGCCTGCAGCAGCGTGTTGAGGTCGAAGGAGGTGTAGGGCCCGTCCGTCAGGCGGCCGGGGCGGATGACGGTGTACGGCAGGCCGGAGGCGGCGAGGTGGAGCTCGGACTGGCGCTTGTAGTCCAGCACACCTGCATGGAAGGAGGGGGGAAGGAAGGGAGGGGGTGAGAGTGAGGGGATGGAGGGTGAGGTCTTCAGGTCCCCCTATTGCCATCTTGCCCCCAACATGTAGAGGCTCAAGTTCAGACAGGCTGAACGCTCAACCCGCTGCACCCACCCGACCCGCTGCTGCACCCCCGCTTGTGGTGTTCCCAACCCATCTGAAACCCGAGCATCCGAGACCTGAGCCCACCCACCGAACAGGTTGAGTGTGTTGTATGGGAAGTCCCGGAATCGCTCCACCCCCACACTGGTGACCAGCACGAAGCGGGCCCCGGGCGCCTGCTGCCGGGCTGCGTCCACCAGGTTGTGGGTGCCCACCAGGTCGGTGTTGCGGGGGCCGTTCTCGCCCTCCCACCTGATTGGGGGGAAGGAGAAAACCCAGGGGGGGTTGGAGCTGAGGCAACACGTATGGGGTAATATTGCAGCAGTGGGGAGAGTGGGAGAAGGGGGAGAAGGAGGGAGGGGTGTCGGACTAGCAGAACGGGGGGGGGGGCGGAGGACCGTGAGGAGTGACAGAGGACATGCAGGCTGACAGCGGGGGGCCGGGGTGGTCTCACGGGCTGCTGGTGGCCAGTGTGCCCGCCCCCCCAAACCCACCTGGATGAGGGGAAAGCGGTGGTTCCCGTGCAGCAACACACCGCCGCCACCCCCTCCGCTAGACCGCCCAGGGTGGAGGGGTCGCGCAGGTCGGCTGGGAACACCTGCGGAGGGGCGAGGGGAGAAAATTAGATAAGAAATGCAAACAAGGGGCGAGGGGAGGGGCGAGAGGGAGGAGATGTGGGAGAGAGAGGAGGGTTTGGGGGAGAGGGTGTATGTGTGTATTAGGGCGGCCGGGTACAGCGCGTGTTGCACCGCGGTGCAGATCTGCCGTACCTCGATGTTGCTGCCCGGGAAGAGCTGCGCGGCGCGGCTGCGGTTCTGCCGGCCGCGGTCCAGAGCGCGAACCCGGAAGCCCCTCTGGCAGATAGGGAGGCGGAAGGGGGGGGAGAAGGGTGGCGGGATGCGATTTAATACAAGCATGAAGGGTGCAGGGAAGGGGGTGACTTGGCGGGCCGAGAAGAGTGTGGCGGGAATGGAATATTAAGTCAAGCTTTACAAGGTCAACAGTACATTTAAAGATAAGCCTTACAAGGAGAGAGCTACGAGTTTTGGCGCATTGTTCAGCTTTCTAAAGCGTGTGATGTGGTTGTCGCTGCATGGCCGGTATCCAAGACCGCCGCTTCGACACGCACCTCTAGCAGCTTTGCCGTCACTAGTTGCCCCACACCTCCAGTAGCGCCAGCGACCAGGACCAGGTCACCCTCCGCCTGCGCAAGCAAACATCGGCATGCAAGGGTCGGAGCTCGTTCCACTCGAATAATGTTCGTTACGCTATCCATATAAAGAAGAGCAAATTGTAAAGTATCATTTCTCAAACCTTACCAGCGCGCGTTTCTCCGAGGCCCGGACCACGACGACTCTGGCGCGCTGCGCGCGACCAGTGCATTTGCCCGCCTGAACACGGCTAGGAGTACGCAGCGAGCTCAACATGCTGCTGTGCAAGAAGCCTGAGCCCCTTCTAACTCCTTTAGGTATGAGCGTGTATGTTGCTCAAACCGACCCCTGCAAGACGAGCTTTTAAGCACCGTCCTATAGTGCAGCCGTTATGTTTAATGTAACCGATGTGCACTATGGCTAGAGGAGAGGTTTGCTTCCCCATTGCATGCGCAAGCCGAAGGACAGCGTTACGACTGATTTACTTCCGGTTCTCCGAAGTGACGCAAGACTAAGGACAAGAAACACCTGTACACTAGCTGCTCGAAAACTAACTGTTGTCGGATATTAGAATACAAGACGAAGTCCGGATTCAGCACATAGAGTCTACTCCTCCGACGGGGCGCCACGCAAGAAGCCCCAACTGCCAGTCTCTGAGGTTTGATTGACGTTATAGTAGTTCAAAAGCGCTCATAGGCTGTAAACATATGTGAAGACAACCTTCAGAATTGCCTACGTGCGAACAATTACTCCTTTCGTCAACCGCTTGACTCCAAATGTCTCGAGTTGCTTGCCGAACGGCCGCGGCGAGTCTCACAGCTCTGCTGCATATAACCCCACAAGCAGCTTCCTCAGGTTGCTTTGGACTCAGCTTGTCCGCCGTGAGCTTCCCAAACGCCAATGCCTCCTTGCCAGCAGGATTCCGGCAAATCCCTGCTGGCACTTCAACCCCACAGCTGCGCTTCATAGCTTCATCAGCCAGCAACATCCTATCTCCAGTTCTAGACAAGGATGCGTCTGCCAACCAAGAGGCTATGTCAGCGCTGCTGCGGCAGATGGGCGACATCCACGAGGCCATCCGTGCAGGCGGGGGCGCTGCGGCTATCGAGCGGCACCGCTCCCGCGGCAAAATGCTGCCTCGCGAGCGCATTGACGCGCTACTGGATGAGGGCTCGCCCTTCCTGGAGCTGTCGCCGCTGGCTGGGCGCGGACTGTACGGCAAGTAACTATGTGCCCGCAGCACGGGATACTGTGTTCGCGGGTCGGTCATGTGGGGTTCGACAATATTGGTTCAGAAAGCACACTGGAGAGCGTAGCGTGTTGGGAATAGAAAACTGCCAGTCGTATCGTTGGTGACAGGTGCCAGGTCGCATGCCAAGGAAGTACCGCCGACCAAGTACCGAGCCCCTCCCCGTCCCCTCCCTGTCCCCTCTCCCTCCACCATTCCCCTCCCCCCCGCCCCCCCCAGGCGAGGAGGACGTCCCCAGCGGCGGCCTGGTCACCGGCATTGGCAAGGTGTCGGGGCGGCTGGTGGCGCTGGTGGCCAACGACGCCACCGTGAAGGGCGGCACCTACTACCCCATCACTGTCAAGGTTGGGGAGTGGGGGGGGGGCCAGGGGGAAGGAATAAGGGAGAGAACGGCAAGGGGCGGGCAGAGGGCAGCAGGAGGGAAGGGGAGCAGGAGGAGGGCAGGAGGGCGGACCTGGGGCTGGTGCTGTTGGCTGGCTGCTGCAACACCTCCTCCCTTTCTGCTGCCACTCCTGCCATCCCCACCTCCAATGCAAGCTGCCTGTGCCAAGCCGTTCCCTATACCAGTATTCCTACTATTCTACTCTACGACCCGCCTCCCCTCCATCCTGCGTCTCCTCCAACCCCCTCCCCTCCACCTACCTTCCCTCCCCTCCTCAGAAGCACCTGCGCCTGCAGGAGGTGGCCTCCCAGTGCCGCCTGCCCTGCCTCTACCTGGTGGACTCGGGCGGCGCCAACCTGCCCCGCCAGGCCGAGGTGTTCCCCGACCGGGAGCACTTTGGGCGCATCTTCTACAACCAGGCGCGCATGTCGGCGGACGGCATTCCGCAGGTGGGTGGGGGATCGTGGGTGGGCGAACTGAGCCGCAGGTGCTGGGGCGGGAGTGTCCGAGGAGGGCGGGGCAGGAAGGACAGGACAGGGCTCTCCCCGTCCTCCTTTCCTTTACTCCCGCCCCTCACCAACTCTCCCCTCACCCTTTCCCCTCGCCCTCCTCCCCAACACGTTGGGTAACCTCACCTCCCCGCTCCCCCCCCCCCAGATTGCTGTGGTGCTGGGGTCCTGCACGGCGGGCGGCGCCTACGTGCCCGCCATGGCCGACGAGTGCGTCATCGTGGCTCGCAACGGCACCATCTTCCTGGCCGGCCCGCCGCTGGTGAAGGCGGCCACGGGGGAGGACGTGAGCGCGGAGGAGCTGGGGGGCGCCGACCTGCACTGCGGCACCTCGGGTGGGGAGGGAGGGGGGAGGGGGCCATGGTAGGTCTGCTTATCACCATCATCATCCTGGGGTCTGCAGCCTGTCGGGGCAGCCTGGTTGTGCTCCCTTCACACTCTGCCACACCCCTGAGCGGACGTGTTGTTTCGTTTTTGTCATTTTTCCCATCCCTACCCCACCCCCACTCCCCCCGTGCCAGGCGTCACCGACCACTACGCGCAGGACGAGGCGCACGCGCTCTCCATCGCCCGGGACATCATCGCCCACCTCCCGCCGCCCCCTCCCAGCCCGCCCTCCTCCTCCTCCTCCTCCGCCTCCTCCCATCTGCCCACCTGGCAGGAGCCGCTCTACCCGCCGGAGCAGCTGCGGGGGGCGGTGCCCGCCGACCCGCGGCGCGGCTGGGACGTGCGCTGCGTGCTGGCTCGGGTGCTGGACGGCAGCCGGCTGGACGAGTTCAAGAGCAACTACGGGACCACGCTGGTGACGGGTATGTGGGGGGGGGGGCAGGGAGGGGGGGAGGGAGGGAGGGGAGTGGGGTGGGGACCGGAGGAGGAAGGTGAAGAAATTGAGGCGCAGGAGCAGGAGGAGGGGAGCGGCCAGGTGGCGGGTAGTGGAGTGTAGTGGAGCTGAGTGGCTGCAAGTGTACTAGATGGATGTGGTACCGCGGTGGACGGCGTTACCCGACCTAACAGCCCTACCCAGAGGCTAGGATACCCTCCCACTAACACATCCACACGGCAACCCTTCCCCTCCCGGCCCCCTCCTGCTCCTCCGCCGCCTCCTCCCGCCCCCGCTGCAGGCTTCGGAAGCATCTACGGGCAGCCGGTGGGGGTGGTGGCCAACAACGGAGTGCTCTTCAGTGCGGCGGCGCAGAAGGGGGCGCACTTCATACAGCTGTGCGCGCAGCGGGGGGTGCCGCTGCTGTTCCTGCAGGTGCACCCGGGGGGAGATGGGAGGAGGGGGGAGGAGGTGTGTGTGTGGGGTGTCGTAGACCATACCGAACCATGGAGGGAGGGACCTGGATGCGGGTGGGACGTACGTACCTGGCCTGGTCAAAGCCTCCCTAGCTTGCGGGCGCCCCATGCATGCCTCTCCCCCCCTCTCTCCGCTTCCACTCTCTCCCCCCCCCCTGGGATGTTCTGCTGCCCCCCCTCGCTCAGAACATCACCGGCTTCATGGTGGGGCGCCAGGCGGAGGCGGGCGGCATCGCCAAGGACGGAGCCAAGATGGTGCGAGCGGTGGCGAATGCGCAGGTGAGCAGCGGGGAGGTTGGGACGAGGAGGGGGCGGACGAGGGGGCGGGCTAGGGCAGGTTGGGGCAGTTGAGGCAGTTGAGGCGGCAGGTACACACCTGTGCCTCTCTCCCCACTGCCCTCAACACCCTCTTCCCTCTCTCCCCGCTACCCTCAACCCTCTTCCCTCCCGCCAGGTTCCCAAGGTGACGGTGGTGATCGGGGGCAGCTTCGGAGCCGGCAACTACGGCATGTGCGGCAGGGTGGGTAGGGGGGTGGGGGGGGGTGGGGGGGTTGAGGTGCGCGGAGGCTGCGTGGTGGGGAGGGGAGCCCTGGTCTCTCGCACTTGCTAGGGACCAGCAAACAGGGGGAAAGCCGGAGCGGAAGACGGGGTGGTGGCCTGAGGTATTGCTGTGTGGCTGTCCGGGAGGGGCTACACGGCTGCCTGTGCTACAACTCCCCCACACGCCCTCTGGTGCACCTCCACCCTCCCTCCTTCAATACTTCGAAGTCTGGAACACCATCAAGCAATTTCCGGTAATCTACGGTCAGGGTCAGTGTTTCCGCGGCTCAGTTTATCTATTCCCTACCCTCCACCCTCCACCCTCCCCCCGCTCCCGCCCCCTCCAGGCCTACAGCCCCCACTTCCTGTACATGTGGCCCAACGCACGCATCGGGGTGATGGGCGGGGAGCAGGCGGCAGGCGTGCTGGCGCAGGTGCGAGGCGGGTGCGGGGGGGGAGGGGAGGCTGGTCGGCGGGATGGTGTGCGCACAGCAGGGACCAGGCAGGAGGGCTACCGTATTCGTGCTATCAGTAGGAGTCGCTCTTCTTCCCCTCTGTTGGCACCTTGCCATTGGCTAGTCGTCTGGTCACGCCCAGTAATCTTCCGTTAGAACGCCCTTTCATGTGATCCCGTCCGTACCCGTTCTCATCAAGACGGCTTACTTCTAGCTCCACCTGCTGTACCTTCCCGGGTCTCCCCCTCTTTCCGCTGTTTGGTGCTGTGTGATGAACGTTTTGGTGGCCCCTGCCGCTGCACCAACCCCTCCACCCCACTGCCCAATGCCGTCTGCTGCCTGGGGTCTGCTGCCGGCAGGTGGAGTCGGATAAGTACCGGCGGCGGGGCAAGGAGTGGCCGGCGGAGGAGGAGGCGCGCTTCCGAGCTGACATGGCAGCGCGGTACGACGAGCAGGCGCGACCCGAGTACGCCGGGGCCCGGCTGTGGGACGACGGCTGCATCGACCCCGCTGACACGCGGCGTGTGGTGGGGCTGAGCCTGGCGGCAGCTACGTGCAACATACCGAGCATTAGCACGGAAAGCCGGTTTGGGCCCTTCCGGTTCTGAGGTGGTGGTTGTGGACTACTGGTGGTGGTGGCGGTTGGGTTGGATGAGTGGACTGTGGTGTATAGGTGTGAGCTGTGCCCAGCCGTCGCGGTTGGGTAGGAACCCTACCTGTGGGGTTAGGCGGGCAACATTTGCGCGAGAAAGGTTGTATTCTTAATGTACGGTAGGTTTTATGGCGTTGTTATATAATATGGTGGATGGTGTATAGATGGATGTGTGCGGTGCGTGGCTTCTGTGTGCTGTGGCTTCTTACCTTGTGTTTGCATGCAGGGCGCGGGCATCCACGGGTCGCTGACCCATGGGTCAGTGGCATGCAGAGGCGTGTGTGTGTAGGAGAATAGGTTAGGAGTGTTGAGCTTGAGTTGCGCTTGTGGCATGATACACATTTGTACAGTACTACATTTCGTACCTACCCACTTGTACAGTAAAGACGCTGCGTTGGCGTTGAGGTGGAAGCATGGTTCCCAGTACCCAGTATCGTGTGGTTGGTTTTGTTGGTTCAGGGGGCGACGTTTGCACAATGCACCATGGTACCAGCACCCTGTATAGTATAGGGGAGAGGACAGACTCCCCGGCAGTTGGCCATGACAATTCCTATGGTATGTACGTGCTAATGCTATACCAGACGTCTGGGATAGACCTCCTTTTAGCTGGTCTTCCTAGCAGAGGGTTGGCCGTGGGCAGGAGGACATACAGTCTCGAGCGGCAGGTCCCCTCTTGTAGGAGGGCAGGACCTACAAGCAAGCACCTTGCTTGTATCTGATTGTTTTCTAAGGCAAAGGACGAGTTTTGACGGCATGGCTTATCGTATGAAGGAGCCGATGTAACGCTTGAGCTTAGCCGCAGTTCAGACCACGCATCAGCTGGTTTGTTTGTACCCCAAAACAACGTTCCGCTGGGGCGGAAACAGCCGAAGACGCCCGGTATTCGCCGCAACGTTTATGCTCATACTTGCATCGTACGGACCTCCCGCCAAGGTTGCGCAACCGACAACGGTAATTCGGCCCATCCGGTGCGACCGAACTGAACCCGAACGCCAAGGTTGCCATTGCCCCAGCCTTGTGCAAACAGACAAACTCGGGTCTTCCCAGTATAAGCCCGCCATGGCTCATCAATATAACCTGGCGACTCAGCTGCCTTCCAACAACACATGCTCCCAGTGGCGGCACATTCCCAGCAGCAGGAGTGCCTGCTTAAGCCACCTGCAGACCCCAACAATAACCGCTGCTGTCCTGTATACGGTCGTTTGCCTAGTACTCAGCAAACCGCTATAAGCACCTCTTTACACAGCCGCTAGCGCTGCGTGGCGGAGTGGCAGCAGCGATGGCACCCGTGCGGAGCCGAGTGGGCGGCGCTGCTACCCTGCTGCTGCTGCTGGCGGCGGCAACCCTTTGCAGCATACCAGCAGGTTAGTGTGTGCGAACACATCAAATAGGACATGATGCACGTGAAACATGCACACGGCACGGCACTAGATGTGCGAATCCCATTTTGCAGCCCGCCTGGAAGCATTCCCCGCCACCGCCCGCACATGCCCGCAGGGGTGAACGCACAGGAGGAGGCTCCCGTGTACGGAGGCGTGATGCAGGCACGTCGGAAAGATCCAACGCCGGAGGAGGTAAGCGCCCGTAAGCCACATGTCTCCGAGGCTGGCTACATGCCCTCCAACGCCGTATGATGGGCCGCCACTTGCAACACATCCCGCGTTCCCTTTTAATTAGGGAACCAGTGCAACGGTCATTCACTCAGTCTTGTCCTGTCCAGTCTTCATCAGTGCGGGACTGACCGTGACTAGACACACTTAGCCTTGCAACCCAGCTGGGGCTCAGGCCTGCGGACTACCTGACTCGAGCCTCTCCCTGACGTTTCCCCCATGCATGCGGTCGTGTTGATGCAGAGGGCTGATCCGGACGACAAGCCGGTTCTGTCAACCACGCCAAAGGCGACACCACCACCCTCCAAGGAACAGAAGACAGCACCGCCCCCACTGAAGGAGAAGCCGCCCTCCCCCAAGCCCCCTTCACCCAAGCCGCCGTCGCCTAAGCCCCCAGCGCCCAAGCCACCGTCGCCCAAGCCACCCTCACCGCAGCCCCCAACTCCATCTCCGCCGTCACCCTCTCCTCCCTCACCTCAGCCGCCGTCACCGGTCCCTCCGCCACCCACACCACAGCCGCCTTCACCGCAGCCGCCACCGCCACCTCCTCCGCCCCCAGTGCCATCCCCACCGCCCCCTCCGCCTCCTCCTCCTCCCAAGCAGCCCTCTCCGCCTCCACCCCGGCGCCCAGCTCGGTCGCCTCGCCCGCCCCGGCCGTCGCCGCCACAGCCAAGCCCGTCACCGCCTCGCTCGCCCCGGCCCTCACCCCCACAGCCAACCCCACCGCCGCCACAGCAGCAACCCAGTCCACCCCCTCCCCGGGTAGGGGGGCTCGTATGGGCGATGGGGGCCTAAGTGCAACGGTGCTCTTCGCCTTCCATGCTGCCTAGCGCTAACTAGCGTTGTCCTGACAACCCCCTTGAACCCCTGCCTTGCAGCGGCCCCGGCGCTCCCCCTCGCCACCTCGGCAGCCCATCCAGTCTCCCCCGCCGCCACCGACCCCCGCCCAACCTAAGCCAGGTATATCCGGCATGGGAGCGTAGAGCCGCAGGAACCCCTTCAGGTGCCCCCATGATGATCCACTTTTGTCCCCATATCCGCATGTATCCTGGCCGTGCAGAGAAACCCAGCAAGTTCTTCAAGCACAAGAAGTACAACATTGTGGTGTCCGGCAAGAAGTACAAGTACAACGAGGCGTACAACTTCTGCCAGCAGTACGGGTACAACATGGTGCCGTACAGCGACAAGATTGCGTACGGTGAGGCACCTGCAACGTCCGCGCTGGCACATAAATTACTTGCATCAGCCACCGTCTACTGTTATGTGCATGCATGGCACTCTCTGTAGCCTCCCTTAATAAAGTTTCAGGCATAGAAAATGGGTGGAACGTGCACACGGCACCCCAACTGAGGACACATTCCCTTCCATTCCCCATACTTGCGCGCAGAGCCCACCTACCAAGAGTGCTACGCGAACGGTCAGGGCTGCTGGGTGTGGGGGCAGCAAGGCAACACCTGCGCGTTCGTCGACCCCCGCGGAACTGGTGGGCCCTACGCGCGTGACTGCAATGAGGAGCAGTACGTCATCTGCTACGGACATGGCAAGCAAACACGTTTGCCTTAAGACGTACAAACGTAGTACCGGCGGGCCGTGATCAGAGAGACTGTCTTTGCACGTGTATGCTTATTCAGAGTCGGTTGCTGTGATCAATTGCTAGTGCAGCATACATGCACCATGGGGCGCACGGTTTTGGGAGATAGAAGCTTGCGGCCCGCACCCAGGGCTTGCCACAGAGAGACCTGCAACACGCCGCCCAGCAGCGAAAGTGGCACATCGTTTTCAAACCTCTGACACTATGCAGTGGGGTCTGTTAGCCATGCAACGAGATCTGTTAACCAGCAGCAGGACGGTTACTCTCCATGCACCTGATGCAAGGCCGAGTGTGCAGGTGCTTGACTCCGTGGCCTCCGTAAAATCCTTATAGATGTGCGTTAACCAGCCGCCGGTGCTCGTCCCCTTGTAACAACTTATGACATGTGCCGCGCATACGAGTATATCATGCATGGAAGGAGCCCTCCCCACTCCCCGCAAACCACCCGCGGATGCGCAGACCACTTAAAGTCGCCCAGATCTAGCTGGGGTCTGGGAACTCGACTGGGCAACGTGAGGATGGGATCCTGTTCGTTCCCTTGATTGCTACGGTGGGCCCATAATCCAGTCAGCCAAGAGGTCCCTGCTCTCAATCCAGACCACCACCAGCTAGTGACCACGGTCGGCGGGTGCCAGGTCGGCGGGTGCTAGGTCGGCGGGTGCTAGGTCGGCGGGTGCCAGGTCGGCGGGTGTCACGTCGGCGGGTGCTAGGTCGGCGGGTGCTGGGTCGGCGGGTGCCAGGTCGGCGGGTGCCAGGTCGGCGGGTGCCAGGTCGGCGGGTGCCAGGTCGGCGAGTGCTAGGTCGGCATGTGCGAGGTCGGCGGGTGTCACGTCGGCGGGTGCTAGGACGGCGGGTGCCAGGTCGGCGGGTGTCACGTCGGCGGGTGCTAGGTCGGCGGGTGCTGGGTCGGCGGGTGCCAGGTCGGGGGGTGCTAGGTCGGCGGGTGCTAGGTCGGCGGGTGCCAGGTCGGCGGGTGCCAGGTCGGCGGGTGCTAGGTCGGCGGGTGCCAGGTCGGCGGGTGCTAGGTCTGTGGGTGCTGAGTCGGCGGGTGCCAGGTCGGCGGGTTCTAGGTCGGCGGGTGCTAGGTCGGCGGGTGCTAGGTTGGGGGGTGCTAGGTCGGCGGGTGCTAGGTCGGTGGGTGCTAGGTCGGCGGGTGCCAGGTCGGTGGGTGTCAGGTCGGTGGGTGCTAGGTCGGCGGGTGCCAGGTCGGTGGGTGCTAGGTCGGCGGGTGCTAGGTCGGCGGGTGCTAGGTCGGTGGGTGCTAGGTCGGCGGGTGCCAGGTCGGTGGGTGTCAGGTCGGTGGGTGCTAGGTCGGCGGGTGCCAGGTCGGTGGGTGCTAGGTCGGCGGGTGCTAGGTCGGCGGGTGCTAGGTCGGGGGTGCTAGGTCGGCGGGTGCTAGGTCGGCGGGTGCTAGGTCGGCGGGTGCCAGGTCGGCGGGTGTCAGGTCGGCGGGTGCTAGGTCGGCGGGTGCTAGGTCGGGGTGTGCCAGGTCGGCGGGTGCTAGGTCGGCGGGTGTCAGGTCGGCGGGTGCTAGGTCGGCGGGTGCTAGGTCGGCGGGTGCTAGGTCGGCGGGTGCTAGGTCGGCGGGTGCCAGGTCGGCGGGTGCTAGGTCGGCGGGTGCTAGGTCGGCGGGTGCTAGGTCGGCGGGTGCTAGGTCGGCGGGTGCTAGGTCGGCGGGTGCTAGCTCGGCGGGTGCCAGGTCGGTGGGTGCTAGGTCGGCGGGTGCTAGGTCGGCGGGTGCTAGGTCGGCGCGCGCTAGCTCGGCGGGTGCCAGGTCGGCGGGTGCTAGGTCGGCGGGTGCCAGGTCGGCGGGTGCTAGGTCGGCGGGTGCTAGGTCGGCGGGTGCTAGGTCGGCGGGTGCTAGGTCGGCGGGTGCCAGGTCGGCGGGTGCCAGGTCGGCGGGTGCCAGGTCGGCGGGTGCCAGGTCGGCGGGTGCTAGGTCGGCGGGTGCTAGGTCGGTGGGTGCCAGGTCGACGGGTGCTAGGTCGGTGGGTGCTAGGTCGGCGGGTGCTAGGTCGGCGGTTGCCAGGTCGGCGGGTGCTAGGTCGGCGGGTGCTAGGTCGGCGGGTGCTAGGTCGGCGGGTGCTAGGTCGGCGGGTGCTAGGTCGGCGCGCGCCAGGTCGGCGGGTGCCAGGTCGGCGGGTGCCAGGTCGGCGGGTGCTAGGTCGGTGGGTGCTAGGTCGGCGGGTGCCAGGTCGGCGGGTGCCAGGTCGGCGGGTGCTAGGTCGGCGGGTGCCAGGTCGGCGGGTGCCAGGTCGGCGGGTGCTAGGTCGGCGGGTGCCAGGTCGGCGGGTGCTAGGTCGGTGGGTGCCAGGTCGGCGGGTGCTAGGTCGGCGGGCGCCAGGTCGGCGGGTGCTAGGTCGGCGGGTGCCAGGTCGGCGGGTGCCAGGTCGGCGGGTGCTAGGTCGGCGGGTGCTAGGTCGGCGGGTGCTCGGTCGGCGCGCGCCAGGTCGGCGGGTGCCAGGTCGGCGGGTGCCAGGTCGGCGGGTGCTAGGTCGGTGGGTGCTAGGTCGGCGGGTGCCAGGTCGGCGGGTGCCAGGTCGGCGGGTGCTAGGTCGGCGGGTGCTAGGTCGGCGGGTGCTAGGTCGGCGGGTGCCAGGTCGGCGGGTGCCAGGTCGGCGGGTGCCAGGTCGG